AATACATAAAAAATATTACGTATAAGCTCTTTTGATGGAGACAACAATAAATTCTCCGTGTAATCAAATTACAGATAATAGAGTAGTTACCAAGGATATGTATGTTTACGCAAACATCAACTTAATTGTATTTGAATGATAGGAAAAATAATTATGGTGGATTATGATTTTTTGGAATTAATATCCTAAAGATAGTAGTTTGATCATTAAGATTTATTTTAGTCTTTTGTATAGATTTAAGAACGTAGCTGCGGTAAAGTTACGTAGGTTCGTGATATCCTGCTATGCTTATTGGAATATACGACTTTAAATCGCTGGATATAGAGGCCAAAAAGTAATAATAATAGTAAAGTGCATATATATACAATGAGTCCACCTATTACAGTAGTTAGAATCGACATGCCTCGTTACTGGTTGCAACGGTCGAAGGCGACGACTGCACAGCTTTACAAACCGACTTTACAATGGTCCCGCTTTGTATGATCTTTCCATACGTTCAACGGTCAGTATATTCTGGTCTTGCATAGGTTGATGTGTTGCTTGATGCCCTTAAATAACAAGTCGGTCACATATTCCTTGTCACATACATACACTTATGTTACAACGTAAGTGGTGGTTAGACTACCGACTAATGGCTGCAAGGTGAATTGTTTACTTTTAATTTTTAATCCCGTCCTCAGTGCCCTAATGGCTTTGTTGGTTTTCAATGTATTTTACCTGTTGACTTATTAGTCTGTGGGTAGTTTATGAAGGTTGAGCCCATTAGCGGAAGCTTAAATAAATACCATTTTTCTAAGTATTGTTTGTTACTTGCATAGTAGTTTATGTCTATTCTATCAATTTTACAGTTTTTAAAACAGAATTGTAATGTTTCAAGGTTTTATATAAATAGGGAATTTAATTGGAAAATCTTATTTCACGAATGAGGTCCACTGCAGTTACCCAGGCAAACAATTAATTAATTCTGCTTAAAACCAAATTGTAAAACAAAGCCACTAATTTAATTTACGCACACTGTATACTGAGCATTAAATTCAATCGATATTATATCATTACGCAGGTGTATGGGAATGGAAATTAAGAGGAATTACGACACACCTGAGTTCCACGACGATCTTCGAAGTATGTATATGCGCGCTGGAGCCAATTATGAAGACACCGTGTTCCTTTTCACAGACACGCAGATCACAAAAGAAGAATTCCTTGAAGATATCAATAATATGCTCAATTCTGGTAATATTTGTAGCTTGCCTAGTCAGGAATTTTTTAGTAGGTAACTTTAATGAACTCTAGAAATTGATAAAGTAATTTAACCCTGCAAGTGTCTCATGCTCGGCATGTGTGTATAGTTAGCGGAAGATTCGGTTTCAACACTTGTCTACCATAGTCAAGGTATAGTGTTTACAAAATATTTTAAGTTAATTCGACTGCCTCATTGGCCGAGCGGTCGAAATTTTTCGGGTTCGATTCCCGGGTCGAGCAAAGTATTACTGGGTATTAAAAAATTCTCAGTAGTAGCACTGAGTCTGAAAATAAGCCTGTATTTGGCAATAGGCTCACCCCCTATTACATGGTAGGTAATCAAAACATAAATAGTGAAAAGCGGGTTTTACAGTGTACAGTGGTATTGAGTGCCGTAACGTGCACCTCAGCCTAACCCTATAAGCGGGGGTCGTGCGGTCCATGGCCCTCTACGGCGCCCCTGTTTGGGCGCCGAACTTGTTGCGGCGTCCTGCTCGGACGCTGCTCATGTCACAGAGGGTCATGGCGATCCGAATGATCCGCGGATACCGCACGATCTCTGGGGAGTCGGCGAACCTCCTTGCCGGATCACCGCCGTGGGATCTGGAGGCGAAGGTGCTCGCGCGCGTGTATAACATGCGCGCGGAGGCACGTCGCCGGGGCGAAACTCCGCTGCCGCGCCAGATAAGTGCGTGGCGGGATGAGCTCCGGCGCGATCTCATGGCGGAATGGCAGCAACGACTGTCGCAACCGAGGGCTGGGCTCGCTGCCATTGCAGCGGTAAGTCCCCTCTTTGAGGAGTGGCTTGAGAGACGCTACCGCGTCCTCACCTACCGCCTGACGCAGGTCCTCACCGGACATGGAAGTTTCGGGAGGTACCTGTGTCTGATGGGGCGGGAGGAAACGCCCGGGTGTCATCACTGCGAGGACCGCCCTGAGGACACGGTGGAACACACAGTGGGAGAATGCCCTGCGTGGGCTGAGCACCGCCGTGCCCTCAGGGAAGTGATCGGCGATGGCGACCTCTCGCGTCCGGGCCTAGTGCAGGCCATGATGCGGAGCGAGGGGGACTGGGATGCCGTCTCCTCCTTTTGCGAAGCAGTCATGCTAGCTAAGGAGGAGGCGGGACGCGTGAGGCAGCGAAGCGCTGCCTCCTCGCAACCCAGTCATCGCGAAGGACACACCGGGCGTCGTGGATCGCGGGACGATCTCCGGCCACCGTAAGCGCGGGCCTGCGGACGGCGAGCATGGGTGGCTCCCCGTCCGACCAGAAACAGACCCAAGCGTACGGCGCGTCGCGTTCCGCGCGCGCCTCAAAGAGCCATCAGACCACCACAGATGGGGCCCAATAGGGCCGATGCCGATTCGGAGTCGCGGAGAACCTAACGGGTAACCGGGGCTCCGGCTCGACGTGCAGGAGAAGGAACGGGGTGGTTTTTAGTCAGTAAGAGTCTGACACTCCCTTCCGCCTCACCCAGGCGGGAGCAGTCATTCGATGATTTTCCCCCCTTCAAAAAAAAAAAAAAAACCCTATAAGCGGGGATAAAAGGCGTGATGTTATTTTCGACTATCTACTTGTTCTTTTTTTTAAATCTTTATTTACTTATATATAAATAAGTGTATTATTGGGGTTTTTATCCCTTAAGGATATGTCAACCCCATCGTACCTTATTCTAAAGTGAGCACATGACTTAAATTACAGTTTCACATTAGGTACTTATGTATATATCTGTGTAGGTACTATAATTACATTAATTGAACACATTAAGTAAATAACTACTGACTGACAATCGTTTAGCCGCTTTTGAAGTTAGTTGTGCAAGTATACTTTGTATTAGACCCACATCCAGTCTATTAAGTTTAAATTCTTGTAAAAACAAATTGCGTTCATTCCTGTTTCGGACACATTCCATAAGCAAATGTTGTATATCTTCTATTGTGTTGCAAATAGTGCAGTTCGGTGAATTATTTTTTTTTCATTAAATAAGCAAATTTTGCTGATGGATAGTGTCCGGACCTGAGTCTGAGAATAATTTTGATGTATTGTCGGTTTAATCTTGTTTCACTAAACCATGAATTTCGAGGAAGCTCACCTTGTATGGTTTTATACCAATTTATTATTTAATTTATTGGATTTAGTTTCGTATAGTTTCTTCCATTCATTGAAACATATTTCCTTAAATCTAGGGACTAATTCCCAGTGATCTGGTAAGTAATTGATGATCATACCCTCTGTTGCTGCTGTCTTAGCTACAAGGTCAGCCTCCTCGTTTCCCTTCAGACCAATATGCGCTGGGACCCATTGCAATATTAACTGTTTATCTGTCTCGTTAAACCAGTTAATAGATTGTATAATTTGGTAGGCAATCGATGCACCTCTGTGTCACTCTTACTGTCGGAAAAAATGACAATTTTATTTAAATGATGTTCCATAGCGTAAGATAAGGCTTCATTTATTGCGATAAGCTCCAGCGACATTATTGGCGTATCACAATTAATTTTAAAACCTGCTTTAAATTGCCTGGTTTTGTCATAAAAACCAGCTCCCAGTCCCTACTTACTCTTAGAACCATCGGTAAATATACTGTGCCAGTTATTATATTTATCAATTAATTCCACTATTACATTTTTGACTAATACCTCTACATTAGGGTTATAGTATGTTTTAGAGGATTGAACACTTTCAAGATTTGTGCGTATATTTTTGTTTATTTCAATACCTGTGACCCATTTTCCTGTTTCACCTTATCCCTTACCTAGGTGAGGTACCGAACTTGTTTGAAGGAGATACGTACGAGGCTGTTCAGAGTGGGTGTCGCAATGAGGCCGCTAAGTTTGGCATCAATCCTGCTGACCGTGATGGAGTCTACTACTTCTTCATCAACAGGGTCCGAGGGAAGCTACACCTTTGTATTTGTATGAGTCCCGTTGGAGAAGCGTTCAGGTAAAATGACCGATTTTTAAAGAATTCACAATTTTTGATGTTTATCCTTTGAGTGCCACGTCAGTCCCCGATGTCTGACGCTAGTGGATGTCACCATTTTAAGTGTGGGAGAGCCATGCTTCGGCACGAATAGGCTGGCTCGACCGGAGTGATACCACGGCCTCACAGAAAACCGACGTGAAGCAACGCTTGCGTTGTGTTTCGTCGTGTGAGTACTTAAGTTACCGGAGGCCCAATTACCTTCCCCTTCCCCAATCCCTGAATCCCCACCGATCCTCAAACTCCTAATCCCCAAAAAGCCGGTGACGCACTTGTAACGCCTCTGGTGTTCCAGGTGTCCATGGGCAACGCCGATTGCTTACCATCAGGTGATCCGTCTGCTCGTTTACCGGCTTATGCCATAAAAAAAAACTTAGCAGTTAAAGTGTCAATTCTTCTAAGAGAAAAGATTCGGACAGCAGCATCCTTTTAATTCCCGATGGCTGAGCATTGATGCAGTGTGATCCCTGAAAGGGCTCTTTGCGTCCATTACTGAACAAAGACCGGTAGCCTGTTTTCCGAAATGAACATTTTCAGTTGAGGAATATTCACAGACCATCGATTCATTTTGGCTAAGGTCTCTTACTGTTACATATAATAGTTTTGACACTAAGTGTAAACTTTGAATGGGATATTATTTGAATTAAATTATATTTATTAATATCATTTTGAATAAGTATAAGCGAAATCGGATTACGATGTAATGCAATCACTTAAAAAAATAATGAATGACTTAGTTCCGTATCTAACTTGAACCTAGTCGACTCTAAGGAGAATGTCTTCCAAGACTACAAGTGTATCATTTGACCGTGAATGTAATTGTGTACGAAAACTACGTAGTGCAGTAACCACAATGTATCACGAACACTATGTGCGAACCTTGACCCTGCACTTTCACCGAGCTCCTGGTGCTTGGCGCACTGCCAACAGTTTGCGTATTAAGTACTTGAAATACAGCTGCAGCTCAAGCCTGAAAAAATGGGTTAAGTAATACTAGAAGTGATTAGGTGAGAAGATAAAATAAATGATGGCGAGTTAATAGAGATGTAGTTTAAAGTGGATGGATCAATAAATCTTGATTGGGGTCGGAAGTAGAGGTGCGCGGCTGCGCTCTGCAACGCTGCCCATACCCTCCTTGCACCCCCCTTCCCGGTGCAATGCGTACGCACTATATTTTAATATACACCTAAAAGCTATGACGCAAATTGATACCTGGATTTAAAGGGCACCGCAGTCCTGTATTGATTCCGCCCTTGTTGTAATTTAATGAAATGGTCAGAGTAATATAAGTAGGTTTTGTACGTATTTTAGGTAGTTTTTAACGAGAAAATGTTAAGCAAAGAAATATTTTTTACAATGAATAATAGTAAAGACCTGTTTGATTTTTGTCTGATCAGTTAGTTTCTATTATTCCAACTAAAAGATGATTTGATGAATCTCTATACAAAATAAGTCATAATAATAAACGAATTCCAACAATAATAAAACTGTATAAACACATTCAATCACAGCACATTGAATAGCAACGTGTAGCGTTGTGAAATAATCATAGTCACCAGTCGCCATTATTACATTGCATTCTGAATGACACACTGACATGAAACTCCTTTTGTGTGGTCAGGCGACGCTGTCGGATGTTCCCTTCTCTAGTGAACTGCTGCACCATTGACTGGTTCACTAAATGGCCACCAGAGGCACTGCTGTCAGTTGCCAAACAATGCTTACAGCCGCTTGGAAATCCAGAAATCGTTGATCTAATTTCTACGATGTGTGTCACAATGCATCAGGTAATATTGATTTATTTTTAATCGGCGAGTATTTTGTAAAGGATTACACCAGAAAAATATCAACAAAATCATTTGTCTGCGATAAGATTTACTCTTTAGTAACCTTTAATCATTTTTTATACTAAAACTTTCGTGAGACATACTAAATTAATTATTATATTTTCGGCTTACTCACGTAACTGTTTCACGATGAACTCGACTAGTTTCAAGCCATGGTAGAGGCTCATATTCATGTACCACCATCCTTCTATTTCAAAAATCGAAATAGTCTCTCACCTACAGTTTGAACCTAAAACACCGCGGCGCACCGCACAGACATCCAAACTAAGTCATTGATTTTAGAGAGCTAACGTTTTATTTTTAACTCGTGGAAGAACCAACTATTCTGTCTGACTAGAAAATATGAAATTCATATGACTCTTAAAATATCACAGTTAAAATAGAAGCCTCGGAACTGGCAAATGTATTTATGAATTATACTGTAAAAGGAATTTTAATGCACAGAGTATAAAGTTTTGATTCCGTTTTAGGACGTGGATGTAATGACAGATAGATTGTACCAGGAGATGAGGCGGTACTTCTACACTACACCTAGCAGTTACTTGGACTTGCTGAAGTTGTACCTGATGCTGCTGGACAAGAAGCAGCAACAAATTATACGCGGGAGGGACAGAATATCCTGTGGTCTGCAGGTACCTAACCAATATATTTACAACTGTTATCTAACAAAGATTATTGCTTGACAAATCACTAAAATTCGTCTTCGTAGTACGAATGGTCTGAACCAAACCAACAACATACGACTGTACGTGTGTAAATACATATGTCTAATGGAAGCAGTTAGATCTAATTATTTTATCTTGATCCCTGCGCTAATTGCTTACTAACACAAAGCCGAGTATTTTAGTAGTTAGGCACGTAGGTCCCACTCATTTAATCTGACGAAACAACAAACTGTGACCTCGAGAGCATGGGTAACGAGAAGTTCAATACAAAACCGATTTCCTCAGAGAACACAGTGGACACAATCACAATAAAACAATAAATATTGACTCTTACTCCAGCGTTGGGCGAAACTCGTTACACTTAATGCTCACCGACAAATATTATACAGACATTAGTAATTGAAGAGAGTGTAATAGTAAATAGAAAGGATCAAGTTTGAATTAGATTTAGGAGGGATTCCGTACCTGCGACTTAGAATTGAGTAGCGTTTCAGTATATGGACGCTAGACGCATAAAGAATTGAAAATACTTAGTTCAAACGAATCAAACCTAGCACCCCTCTCCACCAACAAAGTAATCCGAAGTTCAGCATATAGAATATAAAATTTTCAGCCCTCAGAAAGAGCTCATACAACTCAATTGTGTCAGCGTCATAATATTAGAATTTCAAACAAAACTACATGTACTCTGTAGGATTGGAGTGTAAAATGGTACCTACATTATGGCTACAAGCTTACATAATGTGATATCACAGTTAACGCATATTGCTTCGTGTCGCTGCTTTTACTTAACAATGTAAAATATGTCACCGCGTTGTTTACTTTTATTAAACTTCTTCAAAATCGAACCGATTTTCGAAATTCTTTTACCAATGGGAAGCTGCATTTCAGCATATAATATGGCTATGTAATTTTGTAGGTTTTTGTACAGTATTTGTCCAGAAATATAATAAAAACTCACGCGGTAGAAGTAGCGAGAAGCAGTGCCAATTAGTACGTACCTAATAGGTTTTTGGTAGAGCACAAAATCAGTTTATTATTACTTTTTTGCTATATTATCTTAATTTCGAATTATGTAGACTAATAATTTTATTTTCGAGAGAATTTAAGTAAAATGAAATGTAGTGCAATTGAATTTTGCCATATAAAGCTTCGCATAATATAACATTTCACATCAGTGAATGTTACCTTCGTACCGAACAATACTGGGCTAAAATCAGTATAAATAAGAACTAACGACTTATACAAAGATTATTCCGTAAATCTCATAAAGAAGTAATTTAGGATTATGATTAGTGAGGATTTTGTTAATTTTCTTTAGAATAACCCAATACCTAGATAACATTACAATGTTACTCACTAATTAAAAATTAGATCTATATGTGAAAGAATTAAAAAAACCGGTTAGGTAGTTGTTAATGATTTTTAGTAAAGTAAACATTTTCGTGATATTTTTTTCTTTTTTTAAAAATATTGTCTTGGTTACTCTATTCAACCCCCAAAGTATTATAATAAGTTAGACTTAATGTCTATTGTTACACCAGCAATAGAACCGATGAACCGATTTCAGTGTGTTTATTAATTCAAAAGCCTTGTCACGATGGAGTAATTTTAAGTACTTGTTTGAACTGTTTTATAGAGTAAACGTATGGGATGACTTGTTTATAGTTATTTAAATCGATGGCATAGTTTTGAGATAAACATTTTTCTGGGTTCGGAGTTTAATTTTAATGTTGTTATTAAAACGTATTAGTGAGCAATATCATAGTGTAATGCTGTTTTTCATAAAACCTACGTAAAAAAATATGATTTATTTCTTTGAAATATTCTCAATAATTGGATTCGTAACAATCTTCCACGAAATACTTATTAGGAAACTTAAAAACAAGATGAATTAAGTCTGTAATTTCGTTTTCAAGTTATAGAGTGTTTCTGTGAAAAAAGTAATCATTTTTATATACTTTTGTAAAATAGCTTTTAGATGAAGATGTCACAATGTTATCCGTGATACAGAATTACGATATTCTAGTACAAAAAATTTGCCTATGATTGTCGTAATCATATCAAATATTTGATGGGCAGACGTTTGACCACTATCTCGCCTGGTATGATAGCTTTACAATCTTCTGATTATATTATTTTTGTGTTTTTAGTTTTATAAACTATTCGTTTATTTTCTCTCTTCTTTAGTTTACATTTTCTTTTTTTTCGAGGACATGTATTCATTAGTAATAATAAAAAAAAAATTCACGTTGTGCAGCAACCAGCCGTGCAGTCGAATAATTTTTTTTTTTTTTTTAAAAACGTTGCCCCACACTAGGATTTTCTCCTGTGTCGTGGGTGCGTTTACAAACATACAAATTCACATACACATGTCACCCAGACAGGAACAACAATTTGTGGATCACACAAAGTGTTGTTTGGCAACGACTTTCAAAAAGTTTTATTATAATTGCTCATCATATCAGTCAACGTCTTTTTACAGCTTCCGATTTCACATGAGCGTTAAAACATGCAAAATAACAGGCATAGTAGAATATTAATTTCTGATATCATATTTCTATATGGAATCCTAAAAACATTGTAGCGTCCACTGTCCACTGTGATTCCTAAGAGAATGCGATTCAATGTCACTTATTGAGGGGAGATGACGACCTTGAAAATGGTCCAAGGGTGTGTCTTAGCAACACCCTGTGTATCAAACAAATTCAAGGTTAAAGGAAATTGGGTGCAGAAAGTCTGTGAGCCAATTTATTTTGTCCAATATAATATTTACGAGTGTTAAAACATAACGGAAAGTTATTCGATTTTCGTTAGCGATTCAGGGCTCTTGTTAGATTGAGAATTTCGAGATCGAAAGTTCTAATATGTTATATTAAATATCTATATATATATACTTCTTTGCTAGACATACCAATAAACACAGAAACTATAATAAACATAGAAACTATAATAAATACCATAATACATACAGAAACTATACGAAACGTACGAGGTAGTAGGAGTGATGGAACAACAAGTGCGTGAAATGGAACCAATCCTCGCAAAGAAAGCGGAGGAAGGTCATGCACTGGTCGCCAAGCTGAAGGTGGAACAGAAAGCCGCTGACCAAGTGAAATACGCTGTTATGAAGGACGAGGCGGCGGCAAAGGTACAAATAGTTCTAGCATTGGTATCAAGATTCCATTTTCATGATATTAAAGTCTTACGCCGATCAGGACAAATTTAAAATTTTGGAGTGACTGCCATCCACCTTTCACAATCCACAGAATATTTTTATGGCTAGTGCTTTTTGTTCGATGCCAGGTCGAATCCGCGACACAATGTACGTTAACTATGTAGTACTTTAATAGTAATATTTATCACCATATTAATTTGACTAGATAAAAGCTGAAGAAGTGAAACAAATAGCAGACGAAGCGAAAGCTGACTTGGCCCTCGCTATGCCGGCTATGGACGCTGCACAGGCTGCACTGAAGGCACTCAACAAAGCTGACATCAATGAACTCAAAGCCTTCCAGAAACCGCCCGTCCTCGTACGATTTGTCATGGAACCCATCTGCATACTTTTTGGAGCAAAGTAAGTACAAAAGAAAAGTCGCGTAAACAAAAGGTTTAAGTTCTAGAGCAGTCTTTGAACTCTGCTTTGTAGATCAAAATCTAGCTCACTGGTAATTTAATTTGAACCCACACAAACAAGGTTCCGTTACTAAAGGAGTTTTAATAAAGCAAAGTGCTGTACAACTTGTATAGAACTACGTACCGGTCTAAATTTCAAACGTAAGGGCTCGAGTTCTATTCATCTTTTACATCTCTGCTGTACCTGTTGTGTTTATTAAAATCAGTGAAATAGGTCCCCATATAAGTACGAATTTGTCTATTCACTACGCTACTGGCCGTGATTTTAATTTCTTTAGATTGTTCGAGGTCGAAACTATTGCAATAATGACACAAGGGCAATGAATGGTTCTATTATAGTAATTTTAGACCAAATTATTAAACATCGTTACCGAATAATATACTATACATATTTTCATTTGTTAGCTCGTAACAAAATAGTTACGAGTCAACAGGTAAAAAGATGTATTTTGTCCCTTCATAGGTTTTTTTAAACGTAACGCATTAGACGTATGTATCTACAACTCGAAAGATTATGAAACAATGTAACAACTATAAATGTTAAATTAGATTTTTATTTATAGCAGTGTTATTCTTGAGAACTAATTCACATCATACATCACATTAACAACCTTTAAATGCTGACTGCTGAGCAAAGCCTCTTCTCACATGGAGAAGGTTTGAGCATTAATCATCGCGCTTGCTCCATGCGGGTTAGCGATTTCAAACTTATAATTAGAAATTATAATTCTTAGTTTTCACACGATGTTTGTCAGTGGTGTCTAAATAATCTTAGAAATTATAAACCCAGGTTTCCTCACGATGTTTTCCTTCACCGTTTGTCAGTGGTGTCTAAATAATCTTAGAAAGTACATATAGAGGAAAAAGTCACATTGGTACTTGCCGTTGGTAGGCTTCGAACCCGCACCCTCATGCATGAGAAGCGGACGTCTTGACCTTCGAGCCACCACAACTATACAAAAAATAAAAGAGATAGCCCAAAACACCCAGAGGCGATTAATTTTACTCATGCGCCATTAAATAGACCATAAGTAAGAGGTCACAAACACGCTGTTAGTTTTCGCCGAGCCGAACGAGCCAGCAGCCTGCAGAATTTCACAATTTTGTACAGCAGGGCACGTGAATAATTGTCATTTATAAACGAGTTAAAAAAAAAGAGATTCTTCGTTTGAGATGTATGTTTGTTTGAAATTATCCCGCGATTGGCTGTTTTTAGAAAAGTGTTTGTACACTTAGGAGAAGGTTTTAGTATATTTATTAACCGACTTCCAAAAACAGACGGTTGCAGACGGTTTTTTTAAACACAGGTACTTAGTTCATAAAAGAAATAATTGTCTCTATGTTTGTAAATAATGATAGTGTGAATAATTCAGGTGAACATATTTAAATCTTCACACTATTTTTTTTATCGTCATGATATGTACATATTTGTTGAAAAAAAACAGCATAAACATACTGTTAAACCTACAGACAGGTCATACAAGATACAAGGCGAATTTATGATAAGCAGGTCACATTCTTTATTACTTGGTGATGGTTTCATTGAAAACAATTATTGAAATGGGGATAAACTATACCCTACCCTGCCACATATAAATTATTTTATTCGATTCTGAGTTTTTGCCGTCCTTTTATTTTGGGAATACTTTTTGTATATGCGCTATAATACCTAGGTATATTAACACGTATTTAATCGATTAAAACAGGAAAGGAGGTTCCCAACACATGTATACACTTGAGCAGTAACAACGCTTGAAAAAGTACCAAACCAATAGTAACTTATTTTTGCAGGCCTGACTGGGATTCCACGAAGAAGCTATTGGCAGATGTCAATTTCATCGGCAAACTTGAAGATTATGACAAAGATCATATTCCAGAAGCTACTCTTAAGAAGCTGAAGGTGTATCTCACTCATAAAGATTTCAATCCAGATACTGTCGTTAAAGTATCTAAGGTAAATGTTTGAACCAAGAGAATTATTATGAATTTGTATTATTTACGTCAATTTCATACACTATTTCCCAATTTAAGTAAAGTGATACCTGGTAATACCTACAAGGCTAATACATTTTTGTGATATGAATCACTTTTTTGCTGACGTCATCATCTTATGAATCTTTTTATGGGGAATTCCATACTTTAAATTCTTATGCTTTTCCCTGTTTTTGTGGCCGGTACTGCAAATGAGCATATTAAAAAATATTAATAATTATAAATATTTATAATCTTTAAAAAGTAATATAATTTAACTTACAATGTTGTCACATGAAGTATTTATTTATCAAAAAATGTTCTTAGGTATGCCGATCCATGGTGCTATGGGTGCAAGCTATCGACATGTATGCCAAAGTATTCAAAGTCGTGGAGCCAAAGATAATCAAGTGAGTATAACTAAAAATGAGTATAGGTTTAAGTTGATCATTCACCGCTATTGGCTGACTTTTTATCAACCAAGCTGCGAAGACGAACTCCAAAATAATAAGTAAGATAAGGCCACTGAATTGCCACCACGACACACGAGCCAAAAGTCTTATTTAGCTTTAACTGGGATTTGGATTATAAATATTAGATATACTTACACAAAATTATACACTTACTGTACATTATATTTATATCAAAAATACCCCGATTTCGTCACTGACTCATTCACTCATTGAAGATCATCAAAATTATTATTACTAATTATTGCAAGGTGTTCGTTTTATAAATCTTGACTATACAGACTACTATAAAGGCACAACAATGATCTATCGCTAAATTATAAACGGTAAGCCAACGAAAAAGGCGAAGATATAGAATAGATTTTGATAAAGGCGAGGCATCTGATGTACTGCGATACACTATCATAAATTGTTACAACACTCCCAAGCAGAGCAACTGACCTAGCAGCAGTATATTTGTCCAAATCACATTGAAAACTAGGCATAGTATTCACAATGAACACACAAACAATACGAAATTACAACTCGCGTCAATGCACTCGACTACCGCGCAGCTCGAGTTCCTACTCGAAGCGATCGGCAGTTGCGGAACGAACGCCAGCTTTCTTACCATACGTGAAAGAAGTAACCGACAGAATCGAACACCTGCTGCGCCGTAAATATTGCGTCAGGACAATCTTCAGCCCACCCGATCAGCTGAGACAATTGTTACGCTCACCTGAGGATAAGGATCCGCTGGCTGTGCCCGGATTGTACATGATACCATGCGACTGTGAGTCGAGTTCAAGCTCAATCCGGCATTGAGCAGCTCGAGTTACATCGGGGAAACTTGTAACAACATCAAGACCAGGTTAAAAAAACATATACCTCGAAGAAGATGGATATCCAAAAATCAGCAGTGGCTGTGCAATCTGTGCATGTTTGCGGTACGTATGCAGCTCACTTCATACGATTTGATAAGGTCTAGCGAGGGAAAAATACTTCGTTCCGCAAAAAGTGCGGGAGGCCACAGGGATGGTGGCTGGGCACTGCCAACCGCATGGAAGCCGAACTTGAAGTCTTCGTCGATCCACAGCGTTTCTAGTCTGGAGTGTAATGTAGTGAGCGCTGCATGTAGCACTGACTTTGTGAATCGAACCCACTACCCACGCCAATGGTGAACCTACCGTGTACGCCGCCGTCAGAGTTGGAAGCAAACGCGCGTGGTTTCCGACAGAGTCAAACGGAGTCAATATCCGCCTCCTACTTTCCGGAATGTATCCGTACCGATAACTTCTTGGCGTAACTCTGACGCCCACACCCAACTTTGGCTCCTATAATAGAGTCAAAAGCGCAACTGGCTGGTAGGAAGTTGGGTATCCTATGGAGGGTGAGATGGTACTTCACGCCGAAACAATTGCTGAGCCTGTACCAAGCACAGGTTCGATCCTGCTGTCATCTTTGGGACGGCTCGGCCAAACATCAGCTGGACGCGTTAGAACACATTGAGAGGCGTGCCAAGAGGCTCATCGACGATGATGCGCTTGTGGAGGCCCGGCTTCAAAGCCTCGTACACAGGCGTAAGGTTGCAAGCCTTTCGGTTTTCTACCGGATACATTTCGGTGAGTGTGCGGGGGAATTGCACAATTTGATTCCCCCTAGTCCTTTCCATCAACGTACCACAAGACAATCGGCAAAGCGTCACCGATTCATGGTAGATGTTCCACCCACACGCACGAAGCGCTTCGCTTCAAGCTTCCTTGTGCGTACTACTAAAGAGTCGAATTCTTTGCTAGAGTCTGTATTTCCTGAAGGGTATAAGCTGGGAGTCTTCAAGGCCCGAGTGAATAGGATGCTTATGGGACGACGTGCTCCATCGTAGACCGCATCATCGCTTACCACCAGGCGAGATAGTGGTCAAACGTCGCCCCATCAAATATAAAAAAAGAAAAAAGAGGGCGCGATGGACTCACAACGCAAGTATTAACACCAACGCAAGCGCCAACGCTAGCCAGTACCCTGCGCGACATGCATAGCCGCGACCGCCCACGCTACTCATGAGGAATAGCCCTTTTGTGGCTCGAAACTAGTAGAGCTTATTTCAGTATTTTCACTTGAGTAAGCTGCGATTTTTAATTAAAACAAAACTCTCACATAAAGCTACATTTAACGTTTAAATAATCTTACAGTCATACCATGAACACAGGACAAAATTCACAAATCACGTTTTTTTTTTCAAACTAAAAACTATTTCTGCTTACCTACTCAAATAAAACGCTCAAACTTTTGACTGAAACGTTATTAATTACTTATTAACATGTTACCTACATAATTAAATGCTTTATTTTAGTAATCAATACGTCTTGAGATATTTCATAATAAATATAGATACGAAATTTTCGTTGGTACAAAGTACTTACTTTGTTTTAAGGAGTTTATGTTTCGTATTGCAAAATACAAATTTGAAATTGTACATGCTGATTTTACTTAGGACTGATAACGGAACTGTACATAATTTACTGTAGACACTCTTTCGGACAGTAAGCGTGATATTATATTCTGTAATACATACTTACAAACTTACCAAGCGGCAATAAATTCCTGTCTGCTATCGCCCCGTGGTCCACCATCCACCATCCACCATCATCATACTTACACTGTTTTTTTTTTTAATACTTCTATTAGAATTCCTTGTTTAAGGAAAATATTCCAATAGAATAGAATATTAAAATGTTTCTCAACTAGGTATCTACTAATCTGACAATTACATTAATAGCCAATTTGTAGGTTATATCTTGAAAGCTTATCCATTTTCAATCAGTAATTATTTTATCATCATCTTATTGCTGAACATAGAACTCCTCCCACTCGGATGTGGCATGAGCATAAATTACCAGTCACCACGCTTACTAGAATAAGTTTTAGAAAACTTAAAAGAAGAACATTTAATTCAATCAAAATAGTTGTTATCATCTTTGAACTAAAGTTTAATTCAGTCAATACAGTTGTGCCAAATCATTTTTTAAATAAAAATGGAACAGACAAACTGGCGAGTCTCTATTCATAAATGCGAAATGTGAATCGATTTTACCCACAAACCCACATAGGTAATATCTATATTGGTATAAACAGGTGCCTAGGTACTGTCTACGCGCACCCCAGCTATCGCAGCGGTGGCCAAGCGATCTGGTTTCTCTGTGTAGGTATAAAAGGATATAAGGTTCTTTTACAAATAAACTCAGGAGAAGCGTTCTGATTATAGACATTTATTGAGCGTAAACAGAGACAAAATATTTAAATATAAATTACATCGATATTAATCATTAAAATGTTGACGAATTTTAAATATGGTTACATAAAGATGATTATGTGATAAAGATGATAAATTTTAACAAAGAAGTCTATTTAAATACAAATATTAATTGAAATGTATATAATGTAAGAGTGGACGTTCACTTCTTCCACGTATTCTACAATATAAATTTAATAATTGCATGTATGCCGTAAACACGAAACATTACTCTAATATTTTTCTTATAAGTACTGTTATATGAAAAAGTCATATTCCCTACTAATGTTATTAATGAAATACCGTTATAGATTAATTAATACATTGTGTGATTACATTTATTTCATAGTAATGAATTAATCAATAATATTATGTACCTACATTTACTTATCTAACACTTTTTGAAGCAATTTTGTTGGACTAAAGAGTTTAAAAATAGAAATTCGTTGGTTCAAATCACCCTTGTTAGCCGGTTATAAGCTTCTTATTTAAACTTACTTTCAGCTTTCCGAATTATAATTTGATTTTACCAACAAATCAAATTAAATAAGTACCTACATTTATCGAAAACCCATAAATGCCAAAGACAATAATTTTATATAAAAGTATAACATTAAGAATATTAAGTATAAGTATTAATATTTCTTTCAAATAACCTAAAAGTAACTTACAGTATTAAATTGTATTTATTAAGCGTTATTGTTTTCTCATTATTATATGTATTATTAAAATTGAAAAGATAACAGTCAAAATCCTTAATAAGTAGATATATACTGCAAAAGTTAAAATACAATATTACCATACGAGTCCAATACATTAATCGAATACATGATTTATACACACAGATGACTAACTTCACACAAATTACAATTATAAAGGAATACACATTTCATTTTATTTAGTACCTACCACACAATTTTATAAAATGGAAAATGTATGTAGTTTATCATATAAAATCAGAAACACTAGAAGATATTGTAATATTAATATTAAACAAATTTCTCGTTTCATTACTTCAGCACTATATGATATGATACCATTATAAACATACATATTATCTATATATTTACGAAATATGGTCGGCACATGAGCAGACGGATCACCTGACTATAAACAATCGGCGCCATCCATAGATAACCGCTACACCTGAGGATTTACAAAGGCATCGCTGGCCTTTTGGATATGTATATTGGGGTCTTGGGACTAGGATTGGGGATTATTTGTTAATTATTTTGTCCAAACGAGGTGCCGAAGCATGACGCTGACATTAAGTATAATAATTATGCTCTTATATTAGAAAAAACTTCACAATAACGAATAAAAAACACGAGTAAAGTAGTTAGATTATTTATCTTCATTATATCTAACACAAAACTCATAAACACGTGATTATGAATTATAGTTTTATTAAACACGTACTTAAAATTATAGTGTTTCTTATTAAGACTATAAAACGATCATGAATAGTTTTACACCCATTATTGATTATTTTAAGATCATAAAGTCTTTTACTTAAGTCTTACTTGAATTTTTGGACACTCCCTTTTTATACATGATGTACTGATTTTCTAAGATATTCCTTCTGGACTACGAATCCTTCATAGTTCCGGTTCTGGAAAAAACAGGAAGATGCGGTTCTACCACTTAACGTGGATTCTTGAAGTGCCGCTGCATAGGTGTTTCGATCGGACGAAACTGAGATCTCGCTATCTGCTCTCGGTATTCACTATTTATCAGATGCATAGGTCTTTCAGAAGACGGCTTCATTGGGATTTCTGACGTGATCGGTGCTTTGAAGGTGGTCTGGACCCTTGATGTCGTTGCTATTTGATAAGACGTCGACAGCGCACAATTTGCCCCAATTTGTGGAACTGCATTAGTTGGCGATAGCTTATTAGCCAGCCATACGGGAGACGTTTCTATCTTTGGAACCCCTTCGTACCATCTTGCTAAATCAGGTTCTACTTGGGACAAAACTGATCCTGACGACTTAAGGATAGGAAATACTGATGTTGTCGCTTGTTTGGAAGGCGATGCAGTTGAAATAGTAACTGGTCTTGCTAATTCGGAAGTCATCATTGGTATTACTGAGGTCATTGCTGCTGGCTTTAAAGATGACACTAAATTTGTAATTACTGAGTCTTTGGGCATGGTGGTTTTCCGGGTCGTGGCTGCAATGCTTGTAACGACAGTAGTTGATGGAAGTATAGAAGTTTTGGGGCGTCTAGAACTCCCAATAACTTTACAAAAAGCTGACTTCTCTGATGGTTGCCCTATTATTGAACTGTTGGGCATTTTCGGTGTGGATGAAGAATCAGCACTTGAATATAACAAAGACTGAAATGACGTAGAGCATGGCAGTGCTGACGTCTCTGTATAGACAATGGACAAGGTATTAACACTAGTAGAAGTTCCGGAGAACGTAGCACTCGTAGAAATCGTTACTGACACTGGGTGCGGTGCAGTTGCTTGATCTATTTGCCTTATAGGAAACTGAAAACGATGGTGTCCAAATCGTTTGTTTTGTTCATATTGTCGTTTTCTAGCATTCGCAGCATCGCGCTCTGCCTTTCTTAAACTAAGAACATACCTTAATAGCCCTTGAAGCTGCTCTATGCGACCCAGCAAAGTATAAATTAATATATTATCATATGCATGAGGCATTTTGCGCCAATTTCTGGCGACGAATACAGGTTGCTCATGTTTCGGAGTTTTCCTCAATAAATCAAATATGTCCTGCAAGTTGGATTCTTTGTTATAATAACTTGTAAACCCCGGCTCCACATTCAACATTCTATAAAGCAATGTTCTTGCTTCTGATAATTCATGTTCGTCATAATTTTCTAAGCATTTCATTTTTACAAATATTTCGGGCGTGTTTTCAAGCTCGAATTGAATAAAAGTTAACACCTCGTTTACCACCAAATGATCATACTGCAGCATTTTGAAAATGATCTACTGACGCTGCCAGAAACAAGCGTACGCCCGGCGCGAAAATGATATCCCGGTAGCGCAAACACGTGCGGCTAGGTCCACGCGGTACGGCGTACTAGTAAACATGGGAAAATATTGCCCGACTTCCGCTGAATCCGCCCGTCTGGCCCTTTATTTCCTGGAAATTTTCTTATAAACCATCATTTAAAATCACTAGGGACTCGTAATTAATATAATTATTAACTAAATACTATTAATTAAGACAAGACTTATAATATTAAAATGTCTAAATCCCATCGCATACGGATCTGTTTTGCTTGAAAATAAATATTACTTTATTTGCACAGGCATAAAGAAGCGGCTAGTATCCTGAAGAATGTAATGGCTGTACTCAGGGCCAAACAGAAAGAAGTAGAAGCTATTGAAGCTCAACTTGCTAAAATGATGAACGAACTGAAGGTATGTATAACAAGTATATTTTAGGGTTCGATATTTGAAAAGGGGAAACCTTTATAAGGACTTCTATATTAAGAATAAGCTAATATCGAATGGAAAGTACGTAAGAAAGAAACATCACTGAATGTATATTCCTTTGAAACTGCAAAACACCATCATTTATTTAATATCTCGACTGTTCATAAATACCTAAAACGCAATTTTGATCGCGGACGCAAAAATAAGTTTTATTTATTGAATTGTAACATACCAGTATATATATTTGTGATAGCGCAGCACCCGAACGTATGTCATTTATTTCTCATTGGTCCGTTGGCTTCGTATGATATAACAAAATCTAAACAAGTAGTCCAAAGATCTAAGTATTCTGGTTGAAACCTTTTCATCATTGTGCGTCCTATTCATTTTATATTTAATAATATTAACACGGACAATACCCTGGATTAATACTACTTTACGAGTATCATGTGGAATCTGTACCATACCCAATAACTTGTTCATAGTAGAGACCGAAATATTTGTACAATCGGAACGTCCTAAGAAATATATTCTGGAAGAAATGCTTTCTATAATAATTTCCATGTACAGAACCCTCTAAGGGCTATCCCAACTCACTCTTGTTTGTAAATGCAAGGCCATGGGCGGAGCTTCTACAGTTCTGATCAATGACTCTGTCTGCCTCACTCAAAGTACACAAGCGAGATGCAATACAACATAGCACCGACCTATCCCTACATACGCACACGATGGGTTGAATTGATGCACTACCTCCCTAACCCAAACCCATGGAAGGTAGAAATCAATACATGCCAATTGCCACCTCTTCCACGTAAACATTTAAGTATTTATATAGATTAATACTATGCTACTATTAATTTTTTTTTCTTACTTTTATGATTTCAATATATTCCTATTTTCATATTTCGGTAAAATACTCAAGCGCAAGCAGTCTAATATGTGGTTTGAATATCCGTCGTAAATAGTTCCAAACGTATTGATTAATGAATGTTCATAACTCCAATAACTTAGACAAAGGAAATCTGTTCAGCGGCAGCCGCGTGAAGATCGTTATTTTTTTTCTATTTCTATGAAGGAATGTAGGTAAGTTCAAAATTATACTTGAACGTTTATGATTTTATTAATAATTCAGCATTACCTAATGCCTTGATTAAAAAAATAAGGTTGTTGAAGAAGAACGCACGCGATTGCAAGCTGACGTAGACTTGGCGGCCGCGCGCTTATCCCGTGCCGGAAGGCTAACCCAAGCGTTGGCGGACGAACAAACTCGCTGGGAAGACAGTGTTAAGGTATCAATACACCTACAGTAATATATAAAGCTGGAGAGGTTATTTGAAATGCTGGTTATTATGTTTCGTCAAAATGATTCATCACAACTTCAAGATTGGTTTAAACCAGTAATCAAAAAGTGCGTAAAAGCTTATTACTGAATTCAGTTTTTAGTAACAAATAAAAGGACTAGCAAAATTAATAACTGCGCATTTGACAGAGACCGCACAGGAGCACTGTCCAATAAACCTTTTTAAACTATAATTTCCAACCGACCTGACAAGCGTTGGCATTAAAGCAAACTGTTAACCGTTGTCGTGGCCCCATAAATAGTTTTTCTTTCTTTCTTATTATCTGTTAAGGACTATTGATATTGGTGATGCCAACTACATATCTGAATACATTCAACAGGCGGCGTCGAAAGCATTGCATTGTACTACCGGCGACATTATTATAGCATCTGGTTGTATCGCCTATTTCGGCGCCTTTCCCACAAACTACAGGCGAGAATTAGTTGTCAAGTGGATAGATCAGTGCAAGGAATTGAAAATACCGGCTTCCGAGACTTTCGAGTAAGTATTTGTATAACTGAAGACAAGACAGGGCCGTATCTGTGAAGCAACAAGTCACATAGGAATACTGTTAGTATTGTTTGTAAACTTTGTCACCAAACAGTAATTGTATGTGGAAATGAAAAGGGATACAAGCAGTTATTTAGTTAGCCTAAACATTTTGACTATAGTCCTGCCCGGGCCGCGAAAGCCAAACTCGTGTTCCTCCCACCTCCCTTCTCATTCCAACAGTTCTCAGGTCACGCACACAAGCCTAATTGTTGCTATGCAACACTCTTATATGCACCCCTTGGTCGCGGTGCCCCCCTAGGTTTTGCATGTGGTAGTGAGATCCGATGCCGAAACTCGACAGCCATATTCAATAAATCTATAATAATATCAGGTCATAGAACGTTTGTGTGAGTAAATCTGCACTAGTGTTCGACACTCAGCTTCCGATGCTTTTATTTTCAATCTACTCACACTAACACGAATCATAAACCCTGATCGATATTGGCTGCAACCTCCGAATACCTGCCACTTGTTTAAGGGCAAATGTATTTATCTATGCCAGGGAATTCGGGCTACTTTTTGGTTATTATCCCGTAGAAATCCCTTAACCATACTAAATTAAAAAAAATAAAGATCCTTACAGTACTTCATGTTAGTATTATAGGCCAAAGGGTCAAGCAATATTAAATGATTTTGAAAAGAATTTTGATTCATCATAACATATGTTTTACCAACAACATTGAGACGTGGAATCAGTATAAATCGCACTATACGCGTATATTATTTACTCATTCTAAAAGAGCCAGGCCTGATTCTATGCACTCTACAAAGCTTCAAATTCAGTGTTGTTGACATGATTTTATTAGCAAAAAATCCCTATAAAATCAACATAATCAATCGAATTTTGAACTTTTCCAGCAGTCCAAACTTACGACTATTTGATCGTCGAAAGATTTAAGTTGTATTTATTATTTTATGTATTTGTTTCAAACTATAATCTGTTATCAGTCTGATCACCGTAATGGCTGACTCATACACAGTAAGGACATGGAATTCGCAAGGATTGCCGCGTGATGCAATATCTACAGAGAATGGCATTTTGGTGACAAGAGCCGGGCGATGGCCTCTCACAATCGATCCACAGGAACAGGTATATATTTATCTTATTATTATGATTTAATACGAATAGCAGCACAAATGCAAATGAGACGGAAGAATATGCGCTTCCTGCTCTCTCACATAATCACACAGCATCTGTATATAAATCGGATACCTATGAACGCGTAGATTTGTTTAATGGTAAGAGTAAGGGTAGAGAATGTTCTAGATTCAGTTGAACACCATATCAGTAGGTATCGCGATATTATGTTTTAATTTTTTCTTTCAGATTACTAAAGCAGACAAAACATCACGTCCCTAAAATAGATTTGTAATGATCTAAGTTGTTATCCTTAAGAAATGTACTTATGTAGGAGTAGGAGTATTTTCTGAATCAGGTTTCATAAAACAAAAGCGAAAAACAATCCTGAGAAGATATTATAAGCAATATCTTCAGTCATTATTATTATTTTACTGCTACGCTTTCTATTCTTAGATTGATTTGACGTCAATTAGCTTTTACATGATATCTGATAATGGAAAGATTATCATAGAATATTTTTACAAAATATTTCGGTGTTATCGCAGGCTAATAGATGGATACGAAACATGGAGAAAGAAAATGGACTAATGATAACAAAACTAATAGATGCGGGCTACCTTCGAGTCCTCGAGAATTGCATTCGGCTTGGTTGGCCAATGCTTATTGAAGACCTCGGGGAGTCGCTTGATGCTACCTTAGCTCCTGTGCTTTTGAAGCAAACTTTTCTTCAGGTGACGTGAATATAAAAATATACTTATATTATTATTATGTACCATATAGATCACGTATAAAATCGCCCTACAATAATGGTACTTATCAGAATCTTTCGTCTTTACTTAATAATAAGATGAACAGAGTGAATATTATTTTTCCCAAATAAACAAATTATTTTTTTGACCTCGTCATTAAAAGGAATTGAAATTGAAATCGCTGTTAATATAGAATTATTTATTTATTCCAAATTTCCAATAAACTTTAGTAAAATAAAGAGACCGACTTTTAATTCGTCTTTCAGAAATTAATGTTTATCAAAGCAGTTTTAACACGAAATAATAATTTGTAAACAATTCCAATCCCAACAGGCTGGCAGACTACTCATTCATTTGGGAGACAGTGATATAGAATATGATACGAATTTCCGTCTGTATCTCACGACGAAGCTAGCTAATCCACACTACTTGCCGGAAATCTGCATTCAAGTGACCCTCGTCAACTTTACAGTCACGTTGTCCGGTCTCGAAGATCAGTTACTGGCGTTAGTACCTATATTTATTTTTAATGTTTACATTTTCCAAAATTTTAAATTGTAGTTTTCTATAGAACTTGGTAACTAGGCAACTTGACTGCACGGTTGGTGCGCAACGTGTCGCGGTTTCGATTCCCGCACGGAACAACTCTTTGTGTGATCTTGTATGTTTGTAAGTGAAACCACGACACAGGAAAAAGAACTTTAAAAAAAAAGTTAGATAGCCTTCCCACAATATAAGTATTTGTCCCTAAGTTCCTAAAGTAAACTTGCGAAATCCCTGCATAACTTCTGTTCACGAAATTTATGACATGAGTTGCTTATTGAAGAACGACTATTTTTTACATGATTGACGATTTAAATTAAGTAAAAACGCGGGTTACGAGAAAAGCTCTACTAGTTTCGAACCACAGAGAGGGGTTCTTCCCCATAAGCTGCGCGACGTCGCCGCGACCACGCACGTTGTTCATGAGGAAGAACTCCTCTGTTGTTCGAAACTAGTAGAGCTTTTCTCAGTATAATCACGTGAGTAACCTGCGTTTTTACTTAATTTAGTATGTCTCATGATAGTTATTATAAAAACATTGACGATTTAAAGTATGCCAATTATTATTATTAAGTAAAGGATGCCAATTATTTTGTTGCTAGTGATGTAGTGAGACTAGAGCGTCCAGACCTTGAAATATTGCGGTCAGAGCTGATTGTTCGTATCAATACGGACAAAGCGTCGCTACTTGAGATCGAAGACAAAATCCTGAGATTACTTTATGCTTCTACTGGGAACATTTTGGATGACGAGGAACTGATTGAAACACTCAACGAGAGTAAAGTAAGATCATATCATTATTAACAATATTAACCCCGACACAAAACAAAAATTTACTTCATGTTTAGTGTGGTTATACGGCTAAGTGCTACATGGAGTCATCAGGGTTGGAAAAGGAAAATTGAGTAATTAGATACCGAAATTCTTGGCCTGGAATAGGGTAGATGACTAATATTTGTTTCAATATCCGTCTGGTAGATTATTTAAAAACAATAAAAACGTATTTTTCTTTTTTGGAAACGAATACTTTCGACGATATATTGATTAGAAATATCGCATAACGTCACTTTTGTATAAGATTTGTACTAAAAAATGACGTAGCTACCAACTCCTAAACTTTGATTTGTTTTAACTAAGTATTGTTTTCACAGACGACAATATAAAAAATAGGTACGTGTCTATAATTTTTTCATTACCTAACTGACGGATTAATTAGATTTTTAATTTTCATACCCTGTGTGTAAAAGTGTGTTATGTGTGCATAACACTTGTTAGAAAGATTGATGATGATAATATTATCAACATGGTTATGTAATTATAAGTTTATATTATATGTGGTTATAAGTTTATAATATAAAGCTACAACTATCCACCAATACCTACCCAAAAACATCCAAAAATAGTGTTGACTTTTAAGGAATTGTGGGAGCAAGTGGGAGAAGGTAGTTTTCGCTAGAAATAGAATTTGGGGTGGGCTGAATACTCAGAATACCGTACCGTGTGCCTTACCTGTGCCTTCGCGGAACAGTTTCAATGACCCGTTTTCATCTGGTCGATATTTGGCATTTAGAAAACTTTAACAATATGTATCCATGAAGCTGTGGTCTCCCCTCCCCTCCCTTCCCCGTGGTAAATAGGTACACGATTTATAATGATTTCTAGTATTCCCAGGGTAGAAGATTTATTTTGTATTGATTGTCCTTCTTGATTTCTGACTCTTTAGTATTTAAATACCACTTAATCATCATGAAAACGATAAACACAACATGCTAAATCACTGGACTTGTTCTGTGTAATAAATAGTTGAAGGACAGTTTAACGCGACTTCATTCTTAATGCAAGGTCATGCAAGGCTGTATGAAATGTAAGCCCATGGCGAGTATTCATCTACCCACCCCTTTTTATGCCACTCTTTGATACATGTCTATTGTACTGTTCACGTCGGTAGAAAGGTTATTGTGTTGTAATAATTTATTGACAGCTATAAATGAATGTATTAGATTTAATTAACATTTACTTTTCGGCTCTGGTTTAAAGTTATGGGTTTTATTGGGTTGGGAAAACAAAGACGGTGCTATTTCATCTTTTAAAATGAATACTAGCCCATAACTAATTATAGCTATGTAGAAACTAGTCATAATTGCAGTATTTTGAGCGAAAAACGAGTCTATTGTTAGACACCTGAGAGTACTAGATTTTGGAATTATTATAATTGATAATTATTTTAAAAAGGAAAGTTTAATAAAACATTTGCTAATTTAAGCGGTTGCTAGCACTTGCTCGAGTAGAGGCAGTTAAATGTAAAATCATATAGGTAACTACTTAGGTCCCTATTTCTTAGGGTATTTAGTTACAAATGGATACTGAATAGTTGATTTTGAGAAAATAACTACGTACCTATCGATCTATCCGATGTTGGGCCGTGAAGCCGCTTTTGGAGTACTTACTGTGTGTGTATCTATTAGGCGAAAGAGATCGTCATAGAAATGATGTAAGTATGGAAAATTTTGTGTCGGGGTTATTTAATTTTTTAGAAGAAAGATTATTGTAGGTACCTACTACAGGAGTGTGGTATTATACCTTAATGCTTTGGTTTCTTCAGCTAATTTTAGCGTTTACGTAAACCGACCCAATGTCCTAATAGACCCTCTAGATACTCTCTCTAAAATGTTGCATTATCAATATAGGTCAGTAAACAAAATTGATGCACTTTGCCACACCTAATGATAACTGCCATAAGAAATTAGGTAACAATTGAACCCACGCTGAGCTCAGGAAATGCATCCTGTTCCGAGGCAAAGACATTTTCACATAATTCGCTTTGTCACGCAACTTGCGTCTTGTGTGAAGCTTTAGGCTAAAACTTGTAGGCAAATAATAATAATAGGTATATTCATTTAATTCTCTCATCATCATTTACAACAATATACAGCAAACAATTTTACAATTAGGTAAACCTGACACTGATGTCTGTGGTAGGTAAAACCTTTATCACAGATCATCAGATATTCATCTTTTTTTAGGAAACTGCTGAAATAATTAATGCTCGTCTTGAAGAAACTGAAGCTACGGAGATAAACATATCGGCGGCGCGCGAAAAGTATAGAACCGTGGCGACTCGGGGAGCTGTATTATATTTCGCTGTAGCACAATTAGCTGATATCGATCCTATGTACCAATTCTCACTGAAGTATTTTAACCAGGCAAGTATTCTTATATTTTATGTCAGGCCTTGCTACTTATTTCTAAAATAGTATTCAGATATGTAAGTTCAAGGGTTCTTTTCTTTAAGTGATTCCAAATTGAATGAAATTTGTTGCCAGTAAACCCTTTAAACATCACATGATAAGTTACCCGTGGCAACAAATCTGGCAGGTTACACCTGTTAGATTCTGTTGCCAGGATTATACCTGCTTGTCATTGATATCAAAGCAATATAAAGGTACACAACATAGTTATACGTTGGTAGGTACGTACCCTACTAAAATATACCTTTACAAAAACATTGTCATTTTTGCTTTTCTTTGCAGATATTCAATCAAGTTATAGAAAAAGCCGAAAAATGTGACGTTCTGGAAACCAGGCTGGAAATTCTCCGCAACGAGATAACATTGTCTGTGTATCGCAACGTCTCCAGAGGTCTTTTTGAACGACACAAATTAGTTTTCAGTTTCCTACTAAACATGGCTGTGTATTTAAATACAGAGATTATCACACCAGAACAGTGGAACTTTATCTTACGTGGCGCAGCTGGCTCAGTTGTGGTTAGTAAAACCTGTGCAATATTTTCCTTTTATTTTTAATAAGTTGGCACCACGCGTGCCTCTTTGATTTTCGTCGTTTTATTATAGGTACGTTCTTTCTCACTGCGGTTGTATAAGTAATGGCAATATGTTACGGCGATTAACGCAAAATAGCACTATGTGTACCAGTGTACCTACTTCTTTGAGCAATGTTTCATCCCTGGCTGTAAATGCGGATAAAGTATACCTATATGGCTAAATAACCAGAGGACATTTTGGTTTAAATGTAACTTATTACAGCATCACAGGAATACGGTTTAAAATATTGAAATTTTTGAGTTGAGAAGTACTTAATCCTACTAATTTAATTTCTATGTCCAGGTACCACCCAAAAAGCCACCAATCGAAGCAATGACTGAACTCATGTGGTTAGCCATCAACCATTTAAATGAAACTGACCCTCGATTTGAAGGAATAGTTGATGATTGTTTTAAAAGAATTTATATTACGATCGGAAATTTCTCAGCGGTAAGTACCCAACTCTAGTCGCGAAGAACCTTAAAATTTTGAACAGCCGCGAAGAGGTATTTATTGTATTCTAAAGACACCTGACGGAAGTAATTGCCTTTAGAAAGTGTCTGGTGATAATGAATATTAATATTATTATTGTAATGAGACCTTAGTCTTAAAACGCACGAATGCGTAGCAAAATAGCATGTCACCCAAAAACCCTCGTGCGATATACGAGTACGGTGGCGACCTGTAACTGCCGACTGTTCTCTAGGTATATAATACAAAATAGTCGGTAGGAGTAAAGTCATGGAAGGACAGACTGCGAAAAGAGAAAAGCAGTTAGCAAGTCCTAGGTGTAAAGAAAGCCAGAAAGCACACCCGATCGTACCTTCTGGTAGTCTAAGATCCGGCTGCAGAATCAGTGTACCCATCGAGTGTTTGCTGAAAACCAAATTTTTACACATATTCATGATTAGGAGAATTTATATCCACCAGGTTGCCTATCAAAATGTGGCCGCTAGTATTTTTAATTAAATTATTAATAATTCATAATCCGTAAGAAATTTCACTGACTTTTTTTTTCAATGAAATGTCGTCTACTTCACGGCAACATCTATAAAGACTCTGAAAAATTATGGTTGCCGTTGCGCACCTGGCCGCACCTCTTCGCAGCCAGGTATACACAGGTATGAATTTGTTACATTTATACACCCACAACGTACATTTATAATTTATATATCAAATTAAAGCAAATTTTTTTCTGTATATTATTATATACGGTTGCTTAATTAAATCTGGCCGCCAATAAGGGTTGCTGGGTAATAAATATAGTAAATATTAAAAGTAGAGTGAAAGAGAGCTAGCGCGTAACACCACTACTCACTAGGTACGACTCAAAATAATAAATACTCCAAAAGAAACGTCTTTCTTTTCTAAAATAAAAAATTAAAAAGTCAACGACAAATTTAAAAATTACAAAAAAAAATGAATATTGATGATAAATAAAATCAAGGTTACTTATGTAAAAAAATTGTGTTGTACAAGTACTGTATGAAAAAAGATTTAATTTTATTCAAGTATTACATTTATTTTACATATTCATCAATCATCAGTTTTACCTTCAAGCGGGCGCGTAGTCATTTATAACGGGAGCAGGCGCGCGTAACCGAAAAGACCTATGGGATTAATAAGAGAAATAAAGCACTAATTATTCAATATTTATTTATTTATTTGTACTCAGATTTATTATCATTGTCTTTAAATCGTAATTTGTCAAAAAAAGTAATTATTTTCATGAAAAACAAACAATTATTAGATTAATTTTCATAACTCAAACATTATACAAATCAAATCAAAAATTAGGAACACAAACCCCTTTTTATATATCTAAGACTAGTTTATATACCTTATCTAATAACAAAAATTACGAATTATGAATACTAATAATAATTAACTTTGGTTTGGTTTTTTTAAAATTGTAAATTTTTAAAATGTATTATATTTGTATTATACTTCCATGACTCTTTTTTAAAAATCTGAATCATCGGAGCTCTCAGTCACACTATCATCGCAGCTATCACTTTCATCAGAAATATCGGTATCGTCGTTATTATCGGAAGGTTTGTTCGTGGAATCACACAGCACATTCTCAACTTGCGCTGGAGTTGGATCTCCCAGGAACCATGTTGGTTTTAAAAAACCATCTAACAGCAGCCAGCCATTATTTTCCGCGCTGAACTTGATGCAATCCCGCTCAGTAGCATTTAACCACATCGAATTAACAAAGATGGTTCGCAATAATTTTTCCTTTAAAGATTTCCAGCATGGTGGAATGTGCGTTGAGTCAAAACCTTTAATTCTTCTCATAAATTTCTCACTACTTCCTTTTGAAGCGTACATTTTGTTGAATAATAAAAATCTTGCGGCATTTACACTTTGGCACTTTGGGAGTCCATACATAAGGCACGTAAAATGTTAAAATGTTAAATTAAAATTTTACTTACGGTTTGTGTCTTGCAAAAACTTTCGAAGTCTTCTTTATCTTTTTGCTTTAAAACTGTAATTTTTTTCAAACATTTTGTATGATATCCAAAATCATCGGTAGATTCAAGTGTTAATAAAATGTCATGATATTTATATTTTTTCTTGCGACGAAACAATAACATTAGAGAACACTTTTTGAATGAAGCATTATCAAAGTCTAGTACATTGCATTTTTTGTCGCACAGGAAACACGCCTTCATCCTTATAAATTTTATTTCACTTAAATGAGATTGATAATTTTTCGATGCACAAATAAAACAGCAATTTTTTTTGATCCGTTGACAACACTAACATCTGACGCATGCGCAATGGCTTTAAACCGTCTGACAGCTGGCAATCGCTATCCTCGTCTGACTAGTGGTGTTACGCGCTAGCTCTCTTACACTCTACTTTTAATATTTACTATATTTATTAGCCAGCAACCCTTATTGGCGGCCAGATTTAATTAAGCAACCGTATATAATAATATACAGAAAAAAATTTGCTTTAATTTGATATATAAATTATAAATGTACGTTGTGGGTGTATAAATGTAACAAATTCATACCTGTGTATACCTGGCTGCGAAGAGGTGCGGCCAGGTGCGCAACGGCAACCATAATTTTTCAGAGTCTTTATAGATGTTGCCGTGAAGTAGACGACATTTCATTGAAAAAAAAAGTCAGTGAAATTTCTTACGGATTATGAATTATTAATAATTTAATTAAAAATACTAGCGGCCACATTTTGATAGGCAACCTGGTGGATATAAATTCTTCTAATCATGAATATGTGTAAAAATTTGGTTTTCAGCAAACACTCGATGGGTACACTGATTCTGCAGCCGGATCTCGTACTATGGGTACCTACCTCTCGTGCGGTCAGTTTTAATTAACCCCAGTGCGAAGTAGGGCCGGGTTGCCAGTATGTGATACAAATGATTTTTAAACCGCTTGGTGTACCCTTACTAGTAATTATAATTTGGTCTGCGCAATAGAAACTATATTAGGGTCATTAGGGCGGCCCTGTCTGGTTTTATTTTACTTACTAATATGCTATTTTTAGGACATCCACATTGACAAAACAAACTCTGTGGCACCGATGGTAAACTGGGACGCTAGACTGACATCATTTGAAAAACTTATGTTATTAAAGTGCCTTAAAGAAGAGAAACTAGTTTTTGCGATTGCTGAATATGTGGCTTCTAACCTGGGAGAAGTATTCATAGAAAGTCCCACTGTTCAACTAAATACCCTGTACGTATAAAATGCTGAATTCAGCTATTTGAATTTTGGAATCGATAAGTAGGTACCTGATAGTAAAGGTAAACAAGGTTTGTACATTTAGACATTTATTTAACTTTATATGTGTTTCTTGCATTAACATAAAAATAACAATGGCGAGTATACATAGTTATATACAATAAAGTATGTAGCGGCTTTGTTTTGAACAGAAACGGTACATTATCACAACATGTTTAGGTACAATAAATAATAGAAATGGACAAAAATATATTAACATGAGTATTTACCCTTATACAATTTATATATATATATATACATATATAAATCTTTCTATTCCATGCTTTTGTAAGAGCTAAAAAACTTGAATAGGAAATTCAAAACATAATTTACTCAAGTTGACATGGATGTCAACTCTCAACATCTAGATGTTTACTAGACGTTAAATAGATGAGTAATACCGTAAGTTAGCCATCCAAAAGCATCGAAATACATCGATAACATAGCGCAAACAACGCCAAGCAAAACTCAATAACAATACAAACCATCGCTTGCGCAGATATTTGTGCCTTATTACATACAAAATGCATTCGTTTAACGCACATGTCAGAGAGAGAGTTTGACAAATAAATTGAAACATCGCAAGTACATTTCAGGATAGATCAGTCCGTAGTAGAGAGTATAAGCTCATATTTTAGTAGTGGTCCACACTTCGTACTTTAGTCATTTTCGTATAGTTACATGTTACTACAGCCAGTGACTGTACTGAGCAATGGATAATCAATTTAATTTGTTTGCTCTGATATTTCCTACATTCTCGTATGGGTACTAGATGAGGATTAGTCGAGTCGACTAATCGTCACCTAGTCGAGTCGACTAACTGCCGAAATTAATAACACCGATCTCGGTCCCACAGCTTTGCTGAGGTCGTTTTTTGATATTAGTTCTGAGTTTTAGTAAAAACCCATATATTGGTTCAGTCATTAATTTCATCTGATAATCGGTTCGCATAGCATATAAGATTTTGACTTTTATTTTCATTTTAGAACCTATTATTTTAAGATTTATTTATGTTTTGTCGTATTTGTTTTTCATTTTACATTGACTTTTGCTTTATATATTAGATATTTTACGTAAAGCGAAAAAAGAGAAAGACCTTAAAAACAAGTAACATTTGAAAAGTAAGTTGTCTCCACTACACCTACACAATAGACTATCCATATTGGTACCTACGAATTCTACCTATCTAAGCAAATTAGAAACCATCGATCAAACTCCACCGCATTTGTAAACATTAACAGAAATATAAATATGGCAATAGAACATATAAGTACTAGGTACTTGTGTAAATATATAAATATTTCATCTAACAAGAAACAATTATCTATGCTATGTAGCAATCACGCACCTACAATTAATTTACATTAATCAAGCTCTTACTTAATAACACTCATATAATCTAATCATTTTGTTAATCAAATCCGGAAGGGGCACCGATTTTCATCATTTTTCGCAACCCCAACTAATTAATATTCAGGTATGTATAGTATGTAACATCAATAGTTCAAAGATTCTGTTTACAAGCAATGGGATAAAATGTGACATTATAGTTAGTATAACATTGAAGTTTTACATCGACCTATCTAATTGGTTTATTAACCCCTAACACACAAAGATACATTATTCCTAAAGTGCCTACCTACCGAATATAAAGTCGTAGAACTAGTTAATATACCTAGCTTACAAATACGCTTCGAGAAATAGGTATGTAATATCTTGTGTACGTATAACTGTTATGGATATGTGTACTTTTTAATCCTTATTCGTAAGTTTCGTCTAAAGCATTATTTGCTTGTTCAATTTAAATCACATCTATTCGTGAAATGTATAATTTAGTGCAAAAAACCATTTCTCATTTTGCAGACTCCCACATCATTTATCTCATAGGTAAATATCATCTTATGTTAGCTATAAAATGTACCCATGTTTTAACGAACCCTGCCTACGTTCTTAAATTCATTCTTCTAACTTTGAAACTTAATCTATTACATATATTAAATCGGAACTACAACAACAAACTATTTAACACTAATAAACTAATGACAATTTCAACATTTAAAGCGGAAATTTAGAGAAACGAAATGATAATTGCTAGGTATGCAACCTATAAACATACAACAGATCTATTTTAATTTAATTAGATTTAATTTGTCTTTAATTGAAACTCGAAATCTCGAATTATGAACACTGTAGTTTAATACAGTTCATTTTACTATTGTTCATACACAACAAGTTCTTCTGACAAACATAGCAAACTCATTTAGTTTTGTCAGAAGTTTCAACTTAGTTGCGACTAGTACCTGCCTTAGATTTAGACGAGGTACGTTTTGATCGCCTATTTCAGACAATTATGTTGGGGTCCCATGCATATTTAACGGTTTTTCCTGTTGAAAGATTACTAAGCGTGTGCATATCTTCCGGTGATATATCAAAGTTCAGAGATATATTTTGCTTGATGTGCAAAGGATTGGTAGATTTAGGTATAACTGCTACATCTTGTTGTAAAGCCCACCTTAACAAAAGTTGAGCATTACTGACCTCAAGCTTGCGAGCAATACCTGTTACCTCTGGGTGGGTTAGCAAATCATCATTCTGTTGTGATTTTCCTCCAAGTGAACAATATGCTTGCAACACAATGTCATTTGCCTTGCAGTAATCAAGAAGTTCCATTTGGTAGTAAAAAGGATGCCACTCGACCTTTGGATAGAATAAAAAAAATATTAGAGATTTTTATGTACAATTATTACTAACTGCCATACCTTTGAAGACATACCTGGTTTACAGTGGGGACTACCCCGTGGTTCCTTTCCATCAACAACTTCAAGTGGTATTTAGTAAAGTTGGAAACTCCAATAGCATTAACAAGGCCATTATCATAGAGTTCAACCATGCTGGCCCAAGTTGTAAGTCGTAGTTCTGCATTCCTCTTATCATTCACGGCTAATTTTTGTGTTCCAGGGAAATGTATTAAATATAAATCTGCAAAATCTAAACCTAAATTCTCAAGTGAATGATTGTATGCTCTTGTAATGGCTTCAGATCCACCATGTTCAGCAGGAGCTGTAAAACATTTTTATAATTTATAGATGACAACCATAAATAAGAACATAGTGCAATAGAATATTCTTTAAGATTACAAAGGTAGTAGACTACCTTTTGAAATACAGAAAAAGATTTAGTATTTCTAAAATAACAAAACGCTTTGAACTTACATAGCTTGGTAGTGATAAAAATGTCATCTCTCTCTAATCCATGTTTGGGAAGTAGGGTCTTAAATGCCTCTCGAAGGCTGGCTTCATTTCGATAAACTGCAGCAGTATCTGTATAATACCAAAAATCTATTAGGTTCGTATTTTAATAATTCCTATTAAGTACAGTAACTAAGTACCTACCAACAAACATCACAACATCTTTGATAACAATCATGTCATGAGCAATACATATTTTTTTTATAAACAGTTTAATTAGCTCTATTCTACCAATCAAACACTTTCGTTTGATATCCATAATGGAGGTAGTTGTGGAATACATCGGATTATATTGTATTACCATCAAGATTTAAGAGTGTTTAACAATTATCAAATCAATCTGTTGTTCAGAAGGGGGTAAAATTCTATTAAATAAGACCCACAAAATAAATGTAACAATCTAAATAATGCAGTTAAAAAGTACAGTTGCAGAAATGGTAAACTTACCAAACATGCGATATCCAGCTGATAGGGCTTGATCAACTACAGTCATGATAACTTCGGGGTCACGGATGCGGTAGGTTCCCACTATAACAATACATTTTATTTTATTTAGACCGCTGTAGAGGTGTTTAAGATTAAAATTTGTAAAACAACTAGAGGAAGAGATAAAATATTTGCATATTATTTTTACCTGACTGAAGGAAAGGTATGGTTAAAATAAAAACACTGTATAATTATTTAATCTGAAGGTACCTAAGAAATTAAGCAGTTGCACTTGTGTTAGATACATAATGCATTTTTTAACAATTGAATTCCTAAAATAAAGCAAAATATAACTTACGCCCAACTGCAGGCATTTGTGTGCCATTATTTAAAGTGATTTTCGTGTTCGTTATATTGGAATCCACTGCTGATGCCATTTTTATGGTGGGTATGTTTCAATTCACATAACACGATACAAGATAAAAAGTTAGAACTTTATCAGAAACTTTTCTTAAAGTTTACTTCTCGTAAACACAAAAGAAATTGATGACGAAAGCACAACTTAGAAACGACTCTATGATTTAAGGATAAAATACAGATTACAAATTTTAAGTTACTGTAAAATTATTCCTCTACAACACCACAGGCGAAGGTAGGATGGATTAGTTCAACCCTCACCAACGTACAGACCTAAACTGAACTGAATACTGACAGAGAAATGCTGTTGCCAGTTTGGGCATAATGTCGAACTGTCGAATTGTCATAATACTGTGACATTTAGATTTAGATGACACTCTCTGTCAATGTGACGTTACACACAGTGTGACCAACTTAAATCTTCTCATATTCTACCAGTCTATAAATAAATTCATTTAATTTTAGTATCGTAGTACATTAATTGTTATACATACCGGACAAGGAAGTTTCGAGAAATCACTATCACATCACTGTAAGAACCGCTCCCGGAGGACTCAGTGGTGCATCGGGTGGCGGTGTGCCCCACGTGGGCTGAGCACCGGCGTATGCTCGGGAAAATGATTGGCGACGGACCTCTCGAGTCCAGCTCTGGTTCAGGCCAAGATGCGAAGCAAGGGGAACTGGAAAGCCATCTTCTCCTTCGAATGGCAGTCATGCTAGCTAAAGAGCAGGCGAGCAAGCCGGGTCAGGTCAACGCTGCGCGCGCCAAGAGCCATCCATCCATCCAAGAGCCAGCCATAGGCCTGGGCCCATCACTACTGGCACTACTGGTAGTGCTAATGACCTAAAGCTGATGACTGAATTATGAATGGGGTAGTTTTCAATCAGTAAGAGTCTGACACTCCTCGGCTTGCCTAAGGCGGGACGACTCATTGAATGATTTTCCCCTTTAAAAACAAGTATTTGGTATACATTCGTCGCGGACGTAGTTTGTATGTTGCCCGTATCAAATTATGTTTATACATTCTGAAGTGGCTCTGCAATATGTGTATACATAAATATAAAACTAATACAGTAATCAAATTAAATATAACTGGAAGTTTGAGCACCGGTCGGTTCTAACTAGTGCTTGAAAATTTTTATTACCTACGTAGGTACCTATCTAATAGTTTTTAGTTTCATACGTAACAGATTACAATATAAGTCTACAGGTTTGTTGTTCATACAAATAGGTACCAAACCGTTAAATTATTGGATGCTGGAAACGCTTAATATTTTTGTATATGTAGGTACCTACCTAGCGTTGCGGTGTTTTGTGAAAAATATTATTTTTCTAGATATGCTGATACAGCTGCGACTATTCCTCTAGTGTTTGTATTAAGCACAGGCTCTGATCCTTTCGGAGCTTTTCAACGGTTTGCCACGGAAATGGGGATGCGTGAACGTGTACATTCAATCTCACTCGGTCAAGGGCAAGGACCAGTAGCCGAGAAGATGATAAGTGCTGCGAAACCCAAAGGAGATTGGATTTTCTTACAAGTATTGAAATTATTATTACAAGAAAGATATTTTAAATTTCCATGTATGGTAGCAACTTAGGTACCTATGTACGCACTCACATCGTTGTCAATGATAATTTTGTTTTACAGAATTGCCACCTAGCAGCTTCATGGATGCTTAGCCTGGAAGTAATAGTGGCTAACTTGAGTAGTGAATCCGACCATCCTGATTTTCGACTTTACTTGAGCTCTATGCCCACACCCAAATTTCCTGTGTCTGTCTTGCAAAATTCTGTTAAGGTCACAAATGAACCACCTAAGGGTTTGAAAGCAAATGTAAAAAGAGCTCTTATTGAAATGGAAGAAGATTTCTTTGAACAACACGGTACGAATTATTTTACTGTCAATATTATTTAAAATCTGAATATTATCATCCTCCATCCATTATTTTATTTATAATAAAAATTAATAACGTACAGAATTTAATGTTGTTAGGTAATTTGGTACCTACCTAGTAACCTAGTACCTAGATAATAGTAGTATCTACTTCCAACAATTTCAATTTCGCACCGACACGACGCACACTACTTCACAACTTTCTCAGTGAATTTTTCATTTTGCTCTTTCAAAAGTAGTTCAGTATAATTTGGAAGGAATAAATTCTTAATTTGGAAAGTATAATTTCTGCCTGGAATGTTTTCCGGGAGTTTTGAATCAGCTAATTTGCAGATATTTTGTGCTCTTTTCAATTTCCATTTTGAACATTTTGTAAGTGCGCCGCAAGCGCCGCCATCTTGGAAAAATGGCGGCCAAAATTAAAGTAGGTACCTAATGGTGTTAATGAATATTAGAACATTTTCTCAATAGGTACCCCTCTAACCTATCAGTGGGTGGAGTGGGTAACCTATCATTACTAATAATAGTTATTTTATGCTTTTTAGTTGTTACTTTTTGTTTGTTATTAGTTTTTGGTTTTTTGAAGTCGGTTTTTTTATTAATATTAGGTAGGTATGTGTAAAAGTTATACAGAGGGTTCTATAAAAAACTGTTTACTTACTTGTAACATGTTTGTTGGTCCGTTTAAAATCCTTACTTATAATACTTATAAATCGGAAAGTGAGTTTGTTTGTTTGTTCCGACTTCACGCCGTAACTACTAAACCGATTGCATTGAATTTTTGCAGACGTAAAGTTAGTAGTCTGGATTAAATAATATCTTTTTATCCCGAAAAAATTGATATTCCCGAGGGAAAACAAAAGTATTGGTATAGATGGCGCTGTATGTATGGTATATGTCACATAGGCTACTTTTCATCCTTTTGTGACGCGAGCGAAGCCGCGGGTAAAAGCTAGTTATAAATATTTTACTCATTTGATACCAATAAAGATTATTTATTTATATTTATTTATTAATTACGTCACCATTTATTAAAATACCTACTTGTAGGTATCAGAAAAATATTTATCAATAAATGAATAATTAAACAACCGAATCTGTTTATTTGAGGGTGAATTTACTAGCGACTGGTATTTTTTTACAGTTTTGGGCCAAGACTGGCGCTCGATGCTATTTGGTATTTGTATGTTCCACGCAATCATTCAAGAGCGCAAGAAGTTCGGCCCGCTAGGGTGGAACATTACTTACGAATTTAATAATAGCGATCGCGAGTGCGCCTTGATGAACTTGCAAATGTTTTGTGAGGATGGAACCATACCTTGGGATGCTTTGGAATATATAACAAGTAATAATAAATATTTCTCTTATTTTTATTTTATTTCAGAACCTGGACTTGTACCTAAATGCAAGTACCTACAAAGGTTTAACAGTTTGATACCTATCTAACCCATTATTTATTTTTCCTGTATACCTAGGTCTTATAACATACGGAGGTCGAGTAACAGACATGTGGGATCAACGCTGTTTAACCACAATTTTAAAAATATTCTTCTCGCCGCAAACTCTTGAAGAGGGATATGTGTACTCCGAATCGGGCAAATATTATTGTCCAAGATCGTCGAAACTAGAAACGTACAGGGATTACATAGAGTCATTACCGAACATTGAGAATCCGGAAGTATTCGGTATGCATGAAAACGCGAATATAGCATTTGAGGTATTGTCTTCCCACCTATTCGAATTACCGTAGCCGATGTAGTATATGTAGGTACAATGTAGGTACAGGCGACATTTTTCATTGAATTTTCACTAGCAAATGTGTAAGTTTTTAACTCAATATAAAGAAAGAAATTTGACAGACGTGTAAATGTGTTACCTACATAGAGGTGTTATCTGTACTTAAGTATGAGTGTAATTTTTTTGTCCTTACGCTAGTTCTTATCTATTTTGCAGAACAAGGAATCTCACACTTTAATACAAACAATAGTAGATGTACAGCCTCGTACCGCCGGTGGTGGTGGCGGGGACACACCTGATCAAATTGTCTGGCGAATTAGTGATCAAACGCGATCCAGAATATCTAAATCTATAGACAAATCCCTCATCAACCCAGATCTCATGATACCTGATGATATGGGGCAACTACATTCTCTCACGACTGTGCTGATACATGAAACAGATAGGTTCAACACGTTGCTTAATTTAATACATCGTTCACTAAATGAACTTCAGAAAGCAATCAAAGTAAGTTTACCTTTTCTATTTTACCTGAATGCGTTTTTTTTTTATAGGATAAGCCAGTAAACGAGCAGACGTATCACCTAATGGTAAGCAATCGGCGTCGCACATGGACACCTGGAACACCAGAGGTATTACAAGTGTATTATCGGCCAAGCCGGCCCGTTCGTGCCGATGCATGGATTTCTCTCACTTGAAAGGAGTAAACATCAAAGTAAAAGCACACTTAAAGTCAGAGTCACGTACTTAAGTCAAATGAGGGCAACGTAAAATATGTCAATTTTAGTTAGAACAAATAACAAATGAAGTTTGAGTAGGTACTCCTGCCTATTTCAGTAACTAAGGATAGGTAACAAACCCCTAATTCCCAGGTTACCGGATTTGGCTTGGTTTTACCACATTCGTCCCAGACCACTCAGAGAAAGGGTTTAGTGAGTCCATCTCATATGAAAATAGAACGTAATTCGGTTGTGTTCTATGGAATATCAATATGTGACCTTCAACTTTCCGTTCTTATTTTCAGGGTATAGTGGTAATGTCAGAAGAGTTTGAAGAAGTTTTCACTTCTTTTATAAATAATAAAGTCCCCAACATGTGGCATAAAAAAGGTTATAATTCCTTGAAAACTCTTGGTAGTTGGATACACGATCTCATTTTAAGAGTTGACTTCATGCAGGTAAGTAAATATTGAACCACATAACAAAGTATTTTTATATCAGCGGTTCTTCGGTTCTTTGCTAACGTCAGATACGTTACTGTTTTCTTTTTATTTCAGAAATGGTTAATAGATGGCGCACAGCCGAGCAGTTGGGTATCAGGGCTTTTCTTCCCACAAGGCTTGCTCACAGGGTCACTACAGTCATACGCCAGGCGCTTCCGTGTGCCAATTGACGCGCTCATGTTTGACTTCTTTCCATTGCCGATTTACTTGTCACAAGACGATATTTACAAACAAAATAATAGGAAAAAGGTTCGTCTAATTTCATTATAAAATAGGTACAAAATTAAGTTACTGTGGAAATAAAATCTCTTAGAATAATCGTTAGAACAAACACTAAAAACTTTCTTTGTGTAAAATGCCCTTACTTTCGGCGGTTAGTTGATAGGCGCTGCGAGTGTGCTTTCGAAACTGCTAGGCTATTCTGTAACTTTCAATTCGAAGGATCGAAGTGAACTCGATGGCGGTCCACAGGGTCATTCGTTGGGATGAGGCCTAACAGGGCTGATGCCGATTCGGAGTCGCGAAGAACTTTACGGTTTACCGGGCTCCGGCTCCGGCTCGAAGCGCAGGAGAAAAAACGGGGTGGTTTTTAGTCAGTACCTAAGAGTCTGACACTCCCTCCCGCCCCACCTAAGCGGGAACAGTCATACGATGATTTTCCCGCCTTAAAAAAAATAGACCACCACAGATTAGGCTCAATAGGGCTGACGCCGATACAGAGCTGCGGAGGACGGTTTACCGATGCTCCGGCTCGAAGTGCAGGAGTAGGAACGGGGTGGTATTTTTTCAGTAAGAGTCTGACACTTCCTCCCGCCTCACCCAGGCGGGAAAAGTCATTCGATGATTTTCCCCCTTAAAAAAAGGTTAAAAAGGGAGAAACCTCCGTGGGAGGCCTTTGCTCAGCGATGGGAATTGCTAGGCTATTGATGATGATGGTAGATTGGACTGTAGTTGTAGTTGATATACTTACATAGATACCTACCTACTTAGATACAGTCTAGTAGACCGACTCACTGCTAGTTGTATCGCATGACGTAGTATTGTTGTTGTAGGTACTAAGTAGTGTCTATATCTTTATTATTTCAGGGCGAGGAGGGTCCAAATGCTTACGAGAATTTGCAGCTGCCTGAGGATGGTGTTAACATACATGGTTTGTTTATTGACGCTGGTCGCTGGGACGTGAGGTTAAGTCGTTTGGTTGATGCTTTTCCTGGTAAGTATACGATAAGTTTTAACTTTATGTTACAATACCAAGACCGGCAACGTAAGAGAGGATTTCCCACAGGAACGTTAAAAACGGAAATCACCTACCTATTTGTGCGTACCTATTAAGCCGCTGCCTAAAAGCTAGTTAAGCTAGTTTCACATAAAATTGCCTACTGCGTGGCCTGCCTATAAAGGGTTGCCTTGTGCGTGGGTAAGTACTTAGTACTTATAACGAATCTATTACATGTATCTTGTTGACCAGGTCAAATGAACCCTCCGATGCCAGTGGTGTGGTTCAAGCCAGTGCTTACACTTCCGAAACCTGACCCTCGATATGAAGCACCTCTGTACAAAACGTCAGAGCGAGCAGGTGTGTTGTCCACCACGGGACACAGCACTAACTTTGTTCTACCTGTACTGTTGCCTTCAAATCACCCACAAAGCTACTGGATTATACGTGGCACAGCTCTACTTACGCAAATCACTGACTGAATTCCTTACACAATCTAATCAAGCTGCTTCCACAATCAGGTGAAGATCAGGGAGTATGTATTTTCATTACATGAGTGACCCTGCCTAATTTACGTAGATGTAAAGTCACTAGTATTTGTTTACATAATATCTAAGTACCTACCTATGGATCGATGATGATATACACCTATTTATAGGTAGGTTATTGAGCTGACAAAATAAAAGCAGTCAATTACATCGTGACCGCGAGGATTACTGTAATTAATTACTATTTCCAATATTGATTAAAATACATAATGAAAACATTTTATCGTCGTTTTGCTTCCTTCAATAATAATCAACTTAGTATATTAAGAAAATAGGATGAGTTTTCTTATTAGTTATTTTATTAAATTAGATACATAAAACGAACTAAAAATCAGTCAAGTAAAGTTAAGTGAATAGACTACGTAGGTCTCTATTCTTGGGATCCTGCGATAGTACTAGGATTAGGAGCTAGCTAGGCAACACATCCAAATTGATATGTTACTTAACGACCTAAAGATAATTTGGTGTATCTACATCTACATAAGAGATAGTGTTGGAAATTAAGTAATGAATACACAGGGTTATCAGAAACTGATTTATTTAATCCGGTTTAATTGTCATATTTCTATATGAAAAAAGGTCACAATTAGTCTAAGATCCCATATAACATCGACCTTCACTGATCTATTTAAATGGATAAAACATATCCAATAGGTAATTTAGTTTGCTAAAAATAGTAAAAACACATGGATATCCTGATAAAATATTGGCCACGTTATAATTAATAAAACATTGAAAAATGTTTTTTTTTTATTTCTCCATTGAGTTTGAGTTCAACTAAAAGAATTAACACTATGTGTGAGTTGCCTGTACTATATTCAAACAGAGGAAGGTTGCCTCTTGCCTATTATTTTCTTGGCATAACATTTGGGTTGCCAGGTTTTAAGAGGTATTTCACTTGTAGGTATATTCACTCATTTGTTATCCAAACATGAAAATAAGCGCGATTTTTTTGTGAATACAATGATATAGGGTTGCCCGTAATAAGGCTATCTTGAATGATGGTTGCCGAATATTAAAAATTAAAAGAGATTTCGAATCCATACATTTTTGGGCCTTAGCCATGGCTCGTTAGAATTAGCCATTTGGAGAAATAGTTTAATATGGCGTAAATGTTGTGTGGATCCTCCACGATAAAGAAATTATACCAGTTCGAAGATTCATAATTTCCATATAATAATTGCTTTCTAAAGGAGGTAGGAAACTCAAAATAATGATCGATATTGCTAGAATGAAGAATCTGAGGCAATTTTGATGATTATGCGAAAAAAATTAGTTGTTTTTTTAATTTCTTCAAATGACTCTTCTCGTCCAGGGGAAGTAGGAGGGAGTGCCAGACTTCGAGCAGTCATAGTCTTCTACAAAGTGTTAGATCAGCTGCTATAAACCCATGTAGTATACGTTTTTGACACAATGCTAGATGTCTTAAATACGGCCTCATATTGTGAAAAGATCTCCAGTATGCGTATACGCGGTCTCCACTCCGGAACACGGCTACCCCAACGGTCAGCGGTTCTTCAACAAATGTGACAAGCCCACTGCCATTTCAGCTTGCTAATCCTTTGGGCTACGTCGGTAATTTTAATTCTCTGTATATCCGATCTATCCTTCAAAGAAACTCAGGGCATAAACTAAATAAACTGCAGTTTGATGCAGGCGGGATTTCAGCTTGTTTACACATGGTAATCCAAACGTTACGCCAGGAAAATTATAGGTAACCCTCCGTTTGCATATCCGCTGTGAACTTACTGATAGTGTTAAATATTTCCGTTGAACTTAATGGTGAAATTTCAGAATAGATTTTTCAATTTTTAATTGATGTACATACACCCCATATTTTTGTGTCATTTTTAATAAACTAAATTATCTATCGAATAATTTTCATCCATTAAACAGATCGGTAAAAGTCTATGTTATATCGGATCTCAAACGAAATGTAATTAGGGCCCGCGTAGGCACGTCGACCGTGTCGATAACACAAGTACGGAGCGATCGACAGTCGACTGACTGCGCGGGCTCTGTCAGAATGCGAAAAGAAACATTTTCTAGGAAAGTCCTGCGTGGAGGCGACAATATTAGTCGCATATTATATACTTCAAATATTATTTTCTATCCTAAGTTTACGGCGGGCGATTTGACAGGTCCCTAGTTAACACTAAAATACAGTTAAAAAAGACGACGACAGCAGAACGACGCATCGGGTTTCTTTTAAAATTTGCCCGAGACCTGATAGAAGCCCTAAAGATATAAATAAGTGATTTATAAACAGCGTGCTCCTAATTACAGCTCCACACAGGCCTTTTTATACATTAATGTATATTTTATTTAAATCCACTATTATTACGTGTGAAATAATGAATATCACAGTAGTATTTCCTTTGATTTATTTATTATATTATGTATCGGTGTGTAATTTCAGCAGTTCAAACAAAATAATAGCCCTATCGATTAGAAAATTAGAAAGACCTAGACCGGAGTTGTTTACCTAAATAATGATTCACTATTTTACTCATGTAGTGAATTCTAGTCCCCTCACTTCACTGTGTGTGTACTTGAAATCTAAAGCTTGCAAATGTTACTTTTACTAATATTTTTAAGCTTTATAGATTTAAAGTCAATTAACATTACGGCTTGAATTCCTTTAAATTTTATTACTATCAATACTTGGTTCTTTAAAGAATTTTGCTGGTCATAACTGAACAGCAGCTGCGACAAGTATTACCTCGTCTGCGACAGACGCATGAGCAATGAGACCGAATCATTTGTGAAGGAGCGACTAATCGCAACTTTTGTAAAGATGATGCATGTGAACTATAGAAATCATTCTCTACCAAATACATTAATTAATAATTTAATTTACAGTAAACACATTACAAAAGTCTGTAGTACCCTTACATTGACAAATAATCATTAAATCTAAAATTGAACCAACGAATAATACAATAATAATATTCTACTTTTATTTGTATCAAGATTTTGGTTACTGAAAGCAAATATTTAATCAAAGTTTTTAAAATTTTTGTAATAGGGAAGCGGACAAATATTAAAATTATCATTTTCATCATTAAAATATAATAAAAAAATCAAACTTAATTATTTTTCTAAACTTTCAATTATTAGTTATTGGTTTAGGATAATGAGATAGACATATAAGACAAATAATAAGACTATAAAATATATGTCTGGCTGGTCCGCATCTCTATTATTAAATTTATGGGAAGAAAGAAATACAGTTATGATCTCAGCTTCTCGACGCGTGCTGCGCCGTATGTCCAGTCATACCTACTTAACCTATCTACATAAACAATAGCTTCATCAAAACATACTTCCGTTTCTATTATAATTACATAATTATATTGATTAATCCACATTTTGACATAAATCAAGTTGAAGCCGAAATATTGAACCACATTGAAATATTTAAAGTACATTTAATTCAAATTGAAAAATCCTGGCGATTCTAACGTCATTGTTTACACTTATATTTGCAGTGCAAATAAATAACTCATTATAATTGAGTAATTTGATAGCTAACACTTAGACATGGAGGTTCGTCAGCCAGGCTGAGGGGATAGAATGAAAACATCTGCTGGACCACATACCTCTGGAGGAGGCTAAGGTACATACGACCTTGGGAACTACTGCAAACAAACCACTGACAATGACAACTGTAAATACTATAACAAAGAGACACGTTCATTATTATTAATAAGTTAACAGAGAAAATGTTGGCTATTCCTCCGAAAGGTTCAAAATTGCCTGTAACTTCATCCCCTCATCATCATTAGTTTATATACATGAATTGTTTAAAGTTTTATCCTATGTTTTAATGGATTTTAGTATTAATGTATGTTTGACATCAAACCACACAATACAAGAGTAATTATTTGATCTAAATTACTTAGAGTGTGAACGGAATGAACAAATTTTTCCACCAATCGTTTTTGTGGTTTATACTATGCTTTAGTGGATTGTATTTTACGTGTGTTTAACATCAAATCACACAACACAGGAGTAATAATTCGATCTAAATTACATAGAAAGTGAACGGAATGAACAATGTTTAGCATTGACATGTGAAAATTCCCCCGGAAGGGTGGGAAATGCAGCGCGCGTATTAGGCGGCAGCGCGAGGAGAGCGGCGGGGGAACGCGGCGTCCCCGCCACAAATCCTAGTCCTCTGACATGAACGAATTCTGCGACTTGAGCTCCTCTAGCCGTGAGATCTGCTGCCGCAGGTACATTATTCTGTGGGTATTAAAAAGTGTATAAGGTATCACCTTAAATCAATTTTGACCTAGACAAAACGACGGATGTACACAACAAAACGGGTCCATTTCAGTTTCAGAAAACTCTCAAAGCCTCAAGCACCAACCAACAAAAAAAAAATTATTGTGCAGACTGTATAGATGCTTATGTTATTATGGTAAATGCATAAAAAATCTACCATAACCTAAATAACAATAAAATTTATGTAATGTTTTATAGGTAGGTAAACAAATTGAATGATGACGCATTTTTTTCTGATGGTTTAGGTATAATTAACTAATTTGCAGAATTGGATGTATACCCTTTTCCACTAGGGCCTAGATATATATTCTAATATAACAATTTACTTACTTTTGTTCCTGTAACGTGGCCCTTATTTCCGTGTGGCGTACAAGTGATCGAGAACACTTCAGCTCGGCGGATACCCGTGTGCATTGCAAGCATCCTAGCTGATATGCTTCTTCGGTGAACTTGTTAGCCTGGTACAGAATAGTAAACTAAAGTCATTAATTTTATCTACGATTTATGATATTGGAACATAAATTCACTAGATGAAGGTAGGGTGGTACTTTCTGCTTTACCTGTTTTTCTAGAATATCTGCTGGCCAACCAGTAACATGTGACGTTAAATCCGCCCGCACGTAATTGATGAGTGACGGCGTCAGCATCGGCGGTGCATGATGAAGTGCACCACCCACCACTTGTGAATAACTTCCTAGACATTCCACTAGAACACAAATAATACATATTATAAGTATTCATATTTAAAACAATTTCATATTGTTAATTTTGAAAATACTAACTAAGCTTCCCACATAAGTTCATTAGATATTATAAAATATAGCTTACTTTTTCTAGGTAACGCTGTATCTAGGTGTAGTGGTGGCGCATGGGGATCTATATTTTCAGAGTGTGTCGGTGTCGGTGGCCCGGGGTCGCGGTGTGGCGTTCCCGAACCACTGCGAGTACCGTCACAGATTGGCGAAACCGTCGCGCCGTTGTTATTGACGGGTGGTAACGTCACCTGTGGCTGCACCGCAACAATTCGGGGTAAAGCCGCTGCTAGTAACGAGCCACTCTGGAATATTAAACATCAAACGTTAGTCATGGGTAATAGTCAATCTCGTAGATAATTGGTGGAGTGCATAAAACATACCGGCTGATTGGAATTGTCGAGTACAACAACAGGCGGAACCGAATTGTTCTCTGCATTATTCCGTACGGATGAATTTGTATCCCTGGCTCCATACGAATTCTCAGAGAGCGGCGTACTCCTGTCCGGCGAGATGTCCATATCTTGTAATGATTGTCCATCTATTGACAAAAGACACTATTAACAAATATTTTTATTAATATCCATTAAGCCAAACGATTGGTTCACCTTTTCCATCGTGCGGAGTCGCCGAATGTTTTGGTCTAGATCGATCGTGCACTTCTTCGTCTCTACTGCTATTCCAGTATCTCTCCGAAGCACTATTCGTTCTTTTACTAGATTTTTCAGCTTCTCTTCTGCCTGATCTTGAACTTGATCTCTTATCTCGACCTAAACAATTTAAATATCACTAATTAATTGATTTTTCTTTCGAAATGAAGGCATCCAACATATTTTATATAGAGGCACATCAATAAATTAAAACCCAAGGCGGGAGAAGTCACTGGACGATTTTCTCCCCTCAAAAAAGCCGTTACTATTAAACGAGAATGCTTGTAATGAATCTGCAAAATTGCATCGCCATTCAGAAATAATGCAGGCAATATTTTGATCTGTGGTGTTTGGTGTTGATAGGCACCTCAAAACGAATCATCAACGCGAATATAATGATACCTAACTATAGAATAGATAGAGAGCGTATAGCTGCATTTAGGTAGTGTGATTTTTTTGCAATAAACGCGTGTGGCTGTGTCATACTTACTAACCGTTATTAGAATAGACACATATTATATTACAAACATGATTATTTCTTATTTCTGAAAGAATAATTTGAATTATTGAATCCTTTAATTAACCTGACAGATCTCGTTATGTTAATTTTTATAAGTTTGTTTTTTTTGATGCAAATCAACACATTTTGTGATTCATTTTTATATCATAGATGGTTGAGACCGTAGCGGCCGCGGGTATTTATTAATTTAGAAAAAAATAATTGAGATAGATAAGTACTTAGTTAGTATTATAATAATATAATTTTTCGGATACTAACAACATTATTATTTTTGTGATATTTATGTAATTTACGATTCCATAAACAGTTTTTAGCTTCATATACCTCAATGAAAAACGGTGAAGGAAAAACATCGTGAGGAAACCTGGACTTATAATTTCTAATTATAAGTTTGAAATCGCCAACCCGCATTGAGCAAGCGTGGTGATTAATGCTCTAACCTTCTCCGTGTGAGAAGAGGCTTTGCTCAGCAGTGGGCATTTATAGGCTGTTGATGTTGATGTTGATGTATACCTCAATATACCGAAAGATTCCTCGATAATCATTTTGAGTGTTTTTCTTAATATGATACGAATTAAAGCACGTTTGCACTAGTTGTCGCAACTGCGTTTACACTGATGCGTCGGCTGACGTGTAGAAACTCGGACAGAACGCCGAACGTCCGCGCCAAAACCTTTTGATCCGTGCCACAAAAACCGACAACAAACGGACTAGAAGTGGATGCGTCTACGGATGGTCTGCGGACGGTAAATACCTACCACAAATGCACAACACCCCCTCTACACGTGGGCGGTCGCATCCGCAGACGACTTCAGATACAAACGCGATGGCTGTTCATCGACACAGCGCATCACGCCCTATCCCGTTTCGTCTCTTGTCCGTAAATCTTTGAAACGACACTGCGACGACGCAACGGACAAATGCAGCCACGCTCTTAAGTGTTGGCTTAATGGATATTAATAATACTCTAATTTAAAACCTAAAATATATTTGTACGAAAACTAGGATCGGTAATAAAGCGGCAATGGTTTCAAATGGTCTTACTCACGTTAATTAATCTGTGCAAATGGATCCACGGTCCACGTATCCCAAAGAAAGTATCCCATGGGTGGGGATCACACGATTTTACAAGCTAAAAGCAAACTCTCGGGTCTTTCAATGCAACAAAACTTGCATTGAAAACGTGGCTTAAATAGTATATTGTAGTCGACCTATTCACGGAACGTTCGGCCGTTCCACACAAATAATTGAAATAATGGGTACGTTTTGTTCAACCCTTGAACAATTGAATCTTGTGCAAAGGTTAAAAAAGTTCGATGTTGTAAAAATTAACATCTGTGGGGTCGGAACATTCATAACTAGTTTCCAGGATCGTAGTTCCATATAAAAAAAACCGTCTTCAAAAACAACTAAAAATAAACGAAAAGTAAAAACCGAAATATATAACTACTAGCTTCTGCCCGCGACTTCGTACGCGTAATCCCATTTTTTCCCGTCCCCGTTCGTGATTTTCGGTACAAAGTAAATTGGTTGAAAAGTATCCTATGTTGGTCTCCTGGCTCTAAGTTACCTCCCTACCAATTTTCAGCCAAATCTATTCGATCGTTCTTGATTTATAAGTGGTGTAACTAACACGACTTTCTTTTATATATATAGAAGATTGTTGTTCATACGTACTTATAGCTTACAAACTCACAGATAGGTGAGAAGTCGGTTTTTAAAACGCAGTTTTTTATTTTATCATTTTTAATATATTTATATCATGTACAACCCACATGGGTGCAAAGTTTTCATTAATAGAAATTATTCAAGTACAGGGTAGCTACTGGTAACCGCTGAGAAGTTCCCTCAACTATCGTGCTACTTCGTCATCAGACCCTTAATGACAATCACGGTCCATCTAGGTGTGAAGTCCTCATTAATACAAATTATTCAAACTCAAACACAAGACAGTTACTGTTTTTTTTTTTTTTAAGCGGGGAAAATCATCGAATGACTGCTCCCGCCTGGGTGAGGCGGAAGGGAGTGTCAGACTCTTACTGACTAAAAACCACCCCGTTCCTTCTCCTGCACGTCGAGCCGGAGCCCCGGTTACCCGTTAGGTTCTCCGCCACAGAACATATAAAGGAGGATAGAACGGCCTTGTGGGCGGTACACGCGTGCCGCGGTTATGATCAAATTCTCTGAGTTTACCAAAATGTCAAAAACCGGCCATCAAACGCAATGTTGTTGTGACAGCGTACGAAACTCCGCAAATAATATTAAATTATGCCGTCTTGGACTATTGTAATGTGTCGGAAAAGAAGACAGGTGTGCAATGTAGCACGAGAAGGGATTTCTTTCCACCACTGACTCTAAAAACATTAATATACTTGTGATATTTGTAATTATAACATTAATATTATGACGTTTCTAGACACAAACGACATTATCGCAAGCAGTATACATTGCTTGCAATAGATACGTACCATTTCGCACTACATAAACGATCGCGCAATGTATTACGTTCACAACGAGAGTCCCGAGTATCAAATTAAAACGTCATTTTCTCGAATCGATATAGAGAAGGGTCAATTTGTAAACAATGTCGATAATTACTATGATTCAAAGGATTATTATCAAATTATACACATTATAACTAAAATAATTTAATTTATTACGACTAATTATGAGATAGGTTTTAAGTGAGGCATTTTATTCGTTTTTCAGATTTATATAATTTTTATGTGTTCGTTATGTTTTGTTCAGTAAGTAGACTGATTTTATGATTTAGGAAATTTTATTTTACATTTCTACCTTGATATCATCTAAGCGACATCTAAATCATTTTTCGTAAGATGGATACTCTTTCATACATGCTTAGGCCCAAATTGTTAATAGTTGAAACTATGAATAATTCTTAAAAGCCAGCCGAAATCTTAGTCAATAATTTAAAATAGTTGTTGAGGTTTTCTATTCGAGAACAAAGCTATGACAACAAATAAAATGACATTATATCCTGGGAGCGATTGTATTGTAACTTTTTTAAGAATAGCTATGTACACCTGATGACTTTTCTAGTTTTCGGAGCTGACTTAATTTACGTGAGCTAAAATATTGTGTTGGCCTGGAGGTTGCGGCGCTGTTTCATACAACTTATACGTACTTTCTAAGTTAATTTGCACACCACTCACATTCAGTAAAGGAAATTATGTAACCGAAACTATATAATAATTCCTATTTATATTAACTATTAAAGAAATACGAACGACGATTATTAGGAATGTCATGATGATATCTAACAGAGACAATAACAGAGTTTTGACCACAGATTAGATATATCATGATATGGTTACGTTATGATAATTCTCAATATTTCATTATTTTATGATTTTTCATTCCATAGGGAGAAATTACGCCATTTTTTATATATTTTGAATTAAGTAAAAATCTATTATTTTTGACCCCATGACTTCCCGGACTCCTTTTATTTTTATAAAACTTACAGTTGAAAACAAAACAAAATCGAAATAACACCTTTTCGGTTTTTTATACCTTTTTGATTACCACCAATCAACAATTTACTTATAATTATATTCCATGTCAAATTATTTTAATGTTAATAGTGTAATTGATTTTAAAAATCAGTTATGTATTTTTCTATGTATAGTTATTTACATTAACGTAAATACATGTACACAATATGCCTTATACAAATCCGCATAGTCCGCAATGCATGTAAATTAAGAAGCTAGATGCCATTAATTTTATCGATATCAATAATCGACCTTTCGCTCCCCCTACCATATATGAGTTTTTTACGCTTGTATTAGTGTATGTCAAACGAAGTGAATGCGTCAGTGTGACGACCAATAACAAATCTTTTAACCTAGTGCGTGTTGTTTATTTGTGTGCATTTTCCGCGTAGGTATTGGTCTCTTGCTTGTAGTGAAGTTAAAGAGTGGGGGACAAACGGCGACGCGTGTTCTAATACAAATCAGGAACTATTTCCTTTCTAGCCTTCTTAATATGTTCTGTGTTCTCCGCGACTCCCGAATCGGCATCGGCCCTATTGGGCCCCATCTGTGGTGGTCTGATGGCTCTTTGAGGCGCGCGCGGAACGCGACGCGCCAGACAGTTACTGTTAACCGTTAGATTATAGTGGTTTTAATTTCTTAATGAAAAAATTAACAAATGCGCTGGTCTCCCCTATAATTTTTAAAAGTTCTTCTCGGTCTCCCGGGGATCAGACCCTGACCTGATGACAATGGGACCAAATGACAAGCATACCCTTTAAATTAAAAAAGATATTTTAACTCGTCAAGTACCGGTTTTATAGACACAATTAAAGAACAATAGGTCGCGGTCACCGGTGACCGCTTGGTGTTTGACAGTTTAAAATCCGTCCAGGCATCTTTCAGAAACATTTTCTACTTATTTTTGAAAATGGTTGAAAATAAAAAAAATACTTAAATATTACCAGAACCCTTAAGTTTTAAAACATTTTTTAAATTGTAGTCCACTTATTTTGCAAGTGGACTAGTAGTCTTCAATTTTATAATATTAAGGACTGATTTTTCAAAACACAGATGATAATTCTAATAAAATAAAACTAACATTT